AAGATGCATCCGCTCGTTTTATGCCTCCTTTCTTCTCGTGGTTCCCAGTAAGCTCATTAAAATCTCTAGACATAAACCATAGTTCTTTTCGGGTCGTACTTATCCTCGTCAGACGTTCCCACACTTGTTCGCGGTACTCAAAGACCGGATCTCCATAGACCAAAGTCATGAATACTTGTTGCCCTTCAATCGTTGCTTGAATATCAATCAGCCGATTATTGGAAAACAGAATTTGAACCTCAAAAGAATCAAAATAAGAAAGAGCAAGTCCCCCGCTTCTGCCTTCCGGCTCCACGGTAAACATTTTATTATAACCAAAGGACAATTGCAAATCTTGCATAAAAGAAAAGGAGTTTTTTGTTTCTGAAAGAAAAAGAAAAGCTGGGGAAAAACAACGGTGCAGCTCTCGAAGGTGTTGTTTGGTCAGATAAGCTCCTGCACCTTGACAATTCCAAGCAATTGTATTCATATCTTCTTACTGGATGGTTTCTGGGGCCCTACCGAACCTGAAAAAGCAGCAGACTTCTTGCTTAGAGCAGAAGGAAACACCTCATGACGAGGGATCTGTGAATTACGAGAGGGAACTGGAGTATTACCCGTACTCTGTCTTTTTCGTGGGGATGCCCGACTCTTTAGGCTTTGTAGAAGCTTTGTGGATCCTCCGGCCCCCACTATTTTTGAACTCCTGAGCGAGGCTTTTTTATTTCCCAATCCTGTGCTCCCTCGTTTTGTCGCAGCTTTCTTTCTTTTTTTCACCTGATTTAGCAGGGAGTTCCGTGTATTTGATGAGTCTGCCTCTTTGTTTCCCGATTGTTCTGGGGGGAGTTAGTTGGGAGATAGCCTCTATTATCTCTTCATGCTCTGCTATTTCCTCCCCTAACAGGTCGTCGTTGTTAATTTTGTCTGCGTTCATCTCGGAGATACTGTCTTCCTCTGCTAGCTTGTGGAACTCCTCCAATTCTTTATATGTCATCTCTGGGAGTGGAGTTAAGTTTCCTTCTTGCGCTTTTGAATCCGACTCCTTATCCATCTCCATCGGCGTTATGTTATCTGTCATGTTTTCCTTCTCTCTGTTCCCTCTCGACTGTCTTGCTGAGGTAGGAGTATCAAAAGCAACCGGTTCTCTAATGACGAGTGTTCCTGGCTTCCTGGGGGGGTCTTGTAGAAGCGGGCTCTGATACTTTGATGCAATTTCCATCACTTTTCTTTTCCCCTTCAATCTTCTTTTTCTTTCCTCCTCTGTTTCTGCAAGAGAGAGAGACGATTCAGTTCGGCGGGCGTTGCTGATGTTCAAACCGTTTAATTGGTTTGAGATTGTCCTTTGGGAGTCTGAAGCAGCTTTATTTACTTCTCTTATCGGTCGTGGTTCACTACGAAGTGAATTACGTGCCATTACGTCGACTCTGTTTTCTGCTTGTTTGGGTCTCCAAATGGCTCGATATCTTACGGGCTCATATCGGCGATCCTGGGATATCTGTCTCGTATGTGAATATCAAGATGAGTACTCGCGAGTTCGCAGATAGTCTATTCGTTTCCATACTCCCAAGCTTCTCTCCTGTCTTTTCTCGCTTAAGTCCATCCTAAGGTCTCTCGCTTCAGGTTCATCGATGTTTTCTCTCCACCAGCTTGGTACGTTGGTCTTTTGTTCGAGACTCTTCTGTTTATTCTCTTCCACCAGCCTTTCTTCTGTCCTATGGCTCGTTTCCCGGTTGTTCCCCGTGCTTTGTGCTGCTGCTTTCGATGTATTTGTGTGTGCTTCATACTCTTTGGCCTTGAAGGATACCTCTTGTTCTCGTCTGCTCTCCCTGTGAACGCCTGTACTCAGTTTACTTAGCTTGTTAAGATGCGACTCGATGGCCCTATCCTGATTATAATATCTATCATCCTTCCCTGTTGCAAATCATTTTGTCGAAACAGGGGACCTCTGTTCACGGTAACCCTCTCTGTTGGGAGAACGGGTGCGCTTTAGGTTTTTTTTTGTTCTTGCCGTTTCTTGTATATCCAGGCCCCCATGAGTTTCCGAAGATTTCTTATCCTTTCCTGCGATCATCTTCTTCTCTCCATTAATTTGTGGACAGTTGTTCATCTCATGGGAGATTCGATGACAATGGAAGCAGTAACGTTGGAGTCCCTCATACTTAAACTCGATCTTCCCCATGTCACCGTTTGGGAAACTGATGCGTCTTGTGAATTGCAGGGGATTCTCGACGTTGATCGATACCTGCATCCGTGCTCCTGTTGCATCCGTTAGTATAACTCTTCCCAACGCTTTCCCAATTGCCTGAAAGGTTCCTTCATTCCAGAAGTGCAACGGCACACCAGTGACTCTCAGCCAGAAGGGGATAGTATTTGGAAAATCTTCCTTTGTCGATGCTTCCCATCTCTCTAAAGCAAAGTTCCAGCGGTTAAAGTGGCACAGTCTCTTGGCTAGAACCTTCTCCATATCCTCCTGCTTCTCAAAGTCAAATTGGAATCTGCCATTCCCGAGGTTCCTACCTTTCACTTTCCCTTCAACGTCTCAGATTCTTGAGCAGGGCTTCAGTACTCCTCCCCTCTCGGTGGAACATTCTCCCGATGAGTGTTCTTTGAAACAGTTCTGTTGCAGCTACCAAATCACAATCCGGAATTTCTATGATTTCATCCTCTGATAACTCTAGTCGGCGTTTTGTTTGGGATGAGCTGGTGCCACGACTGAGGTTCTTCTCTCCGACGTGCATGCTGATAATCGCTTGATTCATCTCGAGGATCCTTTTCCTCCTTTTGCGTAATCACGATCGGGATGTAGTACTAGATTAGAGATCGCGATCACAAGTGTAGTAAAGGGAACAGTGTAGCCCTCTCACGATTCGACAAAGCCAGATACCGTAACAGCCTATACGAAAACCTTAGCAGAATGCTAGAAATCAGGGATGCAGTACGACAAGGCTAACAATAAACACATATCTGCAATTTCTTAACCACACAACCTCTAAACCGCTTCCGAACACTACGAAATTCACCACTATCTTAGTTTTATGAGTTATAGATATAGAGTCCTTAACCTTTTGCTGAGGATCGATGAGGAAAGAATTGGATCCGGTGTTGTGTGCTGAGAAAGTTTAGAGACCTGGCTGTCGCCTCTTTTTCGCCCAAAACCCTAGAACTCTCATTTTTTAAGAAAAAAAAATACTTCTAGAAGTTAGTCAAGTTAAGTAGTTTATCGTGGGTTAAAACGTTAACTTCACCAAGTCTCCAACCAAAATAATTCCAATGTTCAACCTTTTCCACGTGGCGTCGTCTGATAGGATTGAATTCCTTGTTATGTGTGTACACCTATACATCACATTGCGCCAGCCTACAAATTATTGACACGTACCAACATTATTTATGCGGCGATCTTTCTCTCCAAATTCAAACGTAACAAATCGGCCCACAATCCTCTATGGTTCCTGAATTCATTATTGTTTTTCCTGTCAAACAAAAATGTGATTCTTAATAAACGTTGGATCCATAATATTTCGTGCATATTAAATCAATAATTATTATTCGAAAGTAACATATAGATCTAGCAAAAAAAAAACAAGCATATGTATATTTTTCACACTTTAGGTTTTTATACCAACATAAATAGCAGCTTTTCTATCATCATAAGCTATTTCTCCGTCTATTCTCTAATACAATTCGATGATTTTCTAAAACGTTTATGGACCTGTCTTATTAAAATACTAGTATTTAATTTCAAATAAATAGGTGATATTTCGTATTCTCACGATTATATGTTGTTCAGTATAAACATATTAAAATGACCAAGAATGTAAGTTTCTTACAATGTTTTTGGATTAGTATGAATTTCCATAATTGAAATGTTTGCTTACGACGACAATTGGAGATTTGGAGGTTAGAAATATAATCAAAAGGGATAAGAACGTTCGATTTAAAAATAGTGTAACATAACACAAATTGTGTCACACAATGGATAAACAAGACGACCACACAAGTGGTGGTAATACAAGAGGGCATTGTAAGAAAATGGATGAGAACAAAATGCCACGTCGGATGAGGATGGTGTGGCTCTTGGAAAGAGGCAAGGTCAGTTTATTGAAATAACCGGCCTTTCTAAATTTAAATAAACAAATCCCATTGGCGACAAAGCTATATTTTGGTCCGGTTATTTCACTTTACACATAGGATTCATAAGAAGACATAAATCTGCTTACATGGAACAAAAAGTGTTCTTGTTTTATGGGATCACAAACAAAAGCAACCTTATAATAAGGTCACTTTTTTCAGTGAAAATAATTCACACTATTAAATTTTTATAGTATCTTCTTGGCAATATATATGTATATCACAGACAGCGGTGAATCGTCCGGTCCAACTCGTGATTTATATAATAAAATCATCTGTGTGAGATTCTTATGTTACACCTATAGTCGGCTATATTAAAATGATTGCATGCATACATGTACACATTGTAATGTATACGTGGCCGGCTACATTCTACTTGAAACATATATTCCAAATGCATTTTCTAAATCGTTACATTTTGTAAGAAATTCTAAAATCTAAACCTTACGGTTCATAATACCAAAACTCGAACTACTTAAATTGTTAGACATCTGTCGCTAGTTAAAATACTATTTCAACAAGTTTTTTTCTAGTATGATTCTCGTTGCGCTCAAGAAGATAAATTTGTAGGTGATTTCTTTGTTCGTTATAAACGTATTGTTAAGATTAATCCACTTTCGGATTTTTATCCAAAAATGGTATTTTCCGTCACGAAACAGATATCAAAAATATTACGTAGCTGTCAGAAAAAGAAAAAAAAAAAAGAGCGAAACAAAAAATATATTGGTGAAACAAAACCCACCCTAGCTTTCGAGCGTGTAAAGATAAGAATAGAGAGAGACACAAAAAGATATTTGTGAAAATGCCACGTAGGCACTAAAAGGTTGGAGTGTGGGACCCAGATCTGAGTCTATATATCCAGAAATGTACCAAAGCTTCTTCTTCAATATTCAAAAACAGCCAAACCCCCAACACACACACATCTCTCTCTCTCTCTCTCTCTCTCCAAAATCTCTTTTTATTTCATCTCTCTGCAATTAATGGAACCTGTTCTCGTCGCGATGGCCGTAACCGCCACAACAGAAGACGACGGATTTTCGTTAATCACCGATAAAACTTCATATAATCTAACGGCGTCAGACGTTGACATCGTTACCTCCGGCAACCGTCGGATTCCGGCTCATTCCGGTATTCTGGTAAGATTTGTGGTTTCTTTGTTAAACTAGTTCGGTTTGAGTTTATCCGGTTTGGTTTAGCTGAAATTATGGTTAATGCAGGCCTCGGCTTCACCGGTACTAATGAACATCATGAAGAAACCGATGAGACGTTTCAGAGGCTGTGGATCTAAGAGAGTCATCAAGATTCTTGGCGTTCCATGCGACGCCGTTTCAATCTTTATCAGATTCCTCTACTCCTCCTCTAGGTTGGTTAATATCTTCTCGAATTTCAAATGCAGAAAAAATCAAACCTATATTCTTTTAATTCACGCAAATTTGAATTAATCAACGGCTAATTAAGTAATCAGTCTTTTCCTAAACCGTGTTTCTTTTGGGTCAATTGCTAATTTTGTTTTGAGTAAATGACTAAAATACCCTTTTGGATCTCTGTTTTTTTTGTTTTTGGTTCACGCGCAGTTTGACGGAGGATGAGATGGAGAAATATGGGATTCATCTTTTAGCGTTATCTCACGTGTACATAGTGACGAATCTGAAGCAGCGGTGTTCAAAAGGCGTTGTACGGCGTTTAACGGCGGAGAACGTAGTCGACGTTTTCCAGCTGGCTCGGCTCTGCGATGCTCCGGATGTTTGTCTCAGATCTATGCGGCTTATCCAGTCGCAGTTTAAGACCGTTGAGCAGACCGAAGGATGGAAGTTTCTTCAAGAACACGATCCTTCCCTCGAACTCGACATTCTCCAGTTCATCGACGACGCCGAATCGGTAATTTTCTAAAAAAATTTAGTTAATTTCTAACACAAAATCTATGTTTCTTATTATCAAATAATAATTCGAAATTGAAACCGAGTTTTCCAGGTTCATCTCGGTCTTAATTTGGTTTGGTTATAGCAAAAGATAATTAAAATTTTAAAAACTTGGTTTATTGGGTTTGATATGTTGTAGAAAGACTTCAGATTATGAATTTATTTTGGTTTAAGTTCAGTTAATTAGGTTTATACACCTAATTAACCCCAGAATATATTTGGTCTGTTTTCTGATTGGTTGTTGTAATTCCAATTTAATGCAGAGGAAGAAAAGAAGACGACGACACAAGAAGGAGCAGAATCTGTATATGCAGCTAAGCGAGGCAATGGAGTGTATAGAGCACATATGCACCCAAGGCTGTACGTTGGTCGGTCCAACGAACGTAGTAGACATGAACGACAAGTCAACGGGTGTGGCGTTTGGAGAAAAGTCAAAGCCTTGCAAGGCGTTTTCCACGTGTTATGGCCTCCAGCTTTTGATACGTCACTTTGCTGTATGCAAGAAGAGGAGTAACAACGCAAAGGGTTGTCTTCGTTGTAAACGGATGCTTCAACTCTTTAGACTCCATTCTTCTATCTGTGACCAACCCGAATCTTGTCGCGTCCCTCTTTGCAGGTATATCCCAATTTTTTATTTTTGTTTTGTTTGATAAGGTTTTTATTAGGAACCTCACATTTGAAATGAAAATGAACTTACTCGCTATCAATTACTTTCTTAACATGTGGTGATAATGACAAAACATTTCACTTTTTTGAAAGAGACACATGTGGTTTGATTAGCCTTTATGTTGACACTAGTGACCCCACCTTCAAAAAACTTTTGCAAATTGATGTGAGAAAGGATGATGGTTCGTTGGTGTAGATATTTGTAGATATTTAGAGTCTCATGTGTCTTTGTCAACTTTTTTTTTTGGGAGCAGGCAATTTAAGAACAGGGGAGAACAAGACAAAAAGATTGGTGAAGACAACAAGTGGACGATTCTGGTGAGAAGGGTTGTGTCTGCAAAAGCTATGTCTTCGTTGTGTCAGTCAAAGAAGAACAAATGTGATGGAGAAGCAGAAGGATTAGTCAGGAAGGAGTACTTAGATGTGTAGATAGTAATGAAGATTAGTTAAGGATCATCTTCCTTAGATTCGTATTTGTTAATTTGTTTCTTTTTTTGTAGTATATGGTTGGAAGTACAAAGGGTATATAATCATATATCTTTTGATCTGTTTGGAGGGTTTAGTTTGTAGATGAGTAAACCCTTTTGTATTTGGCAATGTGTAGGTCACATTTTGTTGTTCATTCATATCTAATAATACACACTATTCAAGAAAATGTTTTGGACTCAAGGGGTGATCTATACTGTTTATGTGAGTTGTGAAAGATGATAGTGGCCAACAATAACTTTACAAAGAATACAGATGAACTTAACCCAAGTGCGATTAGTTGAATTGGTTAAAACAATTGTAGTGAAGTGGACCTAAATTTGAGTTCATTACATTCAATGGAAGAACAATTATTTTATGTTTATCCATGTTACATGTTTCCAAAGAAAAGAAAAGCCAATGAAATATATAACAACACACAACTCAAAAGTCAGATCACCATATTATATATATCTTTCACAATATAAGAGTCGGTGAAGTCTCATCTTCATGACTCACACAATCTCTAGAGTTCGTCTTTAACATCATCACGAGCTACTGGCTCATGAGTAGTAGTAGTAGTGAGTTTGGTGGGATAAGAAGCTTCCAGTGCTATACCGCAACGTCCTTCATTCTCTGATATTCCTCTCTCAATCCGAACATAGCCTCCTTCTCCCCATTCTCGACCCCATGAGTTTCTCACTATCCAATATTTTGTTCCTTTCTCCGTTTCTCCATAGCCAACAATCGCCACGCCGTGGTTTAACTGAGTCCCACATTCTCCGGTAAACACACCCTATGATATATATATAACATGCCCATTCATATAGTGACGACAATGTAATGTAAATGATTGATTATTATTACCTCAGAGTAAAGCTGAAAATCTGAACTTCCAGCATCAATTGCTACAGAGACAGGCTGGTGAGCGACAGCTTTGAGGAGTGCTTCCTCGTCGTTCTCAGGGACGTGTTCGTGTCCATCGATCGTTACAGTTTCTCCCTCAACATTTTTAGCTCTGCAGAACCCAAAGTCGTCAGGATTGTAAGGGTAAGTCTCTTCGGTTTTGATGCCACCATTGTTCTTGATGAAATCAAACGCAGGTTCCATGAGACCGCCCAAACAACCTTGATTCTCTTCATTGTCACAATCAACGAGCTCTTGTTCAGACAATGAAACCAGTTTGTTTGTTCTGATCTTGTTTATCCCTTCTACTGCTGCAACCGTAGAAAATGCCCAGCAACTTCCTGGAATATTAGTGATTTAATAAGAAAAAACTGGTGTAACCTAAAATGTTTTTTAAAAAAGTTCAGGAGAAAATTAGAACATCATATATAACATCTCAGAGCTTTCACCAAACATTTAACCTAAATGTATAGTTCACTTCTCTGTTGACATTATTAGAAACAAAAATCTTGTGATGAATCCAAAATACTACAAAAACTGAATTCTTGGATTGGGGTCAAAGTCAAATCAGTTGGAAACAGAGCTAAAACAGAGTCCAGACAAATCTCTACTCTTAGAAGACTGATTTATATCAGATGTTCATAAATTTGCAAGAAATAAAACAACCACAATATCGAAGTACGAGAAAGCCCACAAGAAAACATGTCATCTATAGAATTTTCAGGTTCAAGTCTTAAAATCCGAGAAGTCATTTTAGGGTTATTAAAATCTCTTACCACAGTCTTGTTGATTCTTGACATCAGTGACAGCTCCTTTCTCTCTCCAATCAACAGAGATCGGAACTCCGGTCACATTCTCATACATGAAACCACCAGATCCACGTTTTGGTCCACAGAGCATCCGGTGATGCTTAACATTAGAGCCAGCGTAGGAGTTTCTAAACTCGTGGTGAGTTATGTCGGCGAATCTATTGATCTTGAGTTTGTAAAGCTTGTTCTTCTTGTTCGTCTTGTGGACATGAAGCACATTGTGTCTAAAGACGTTGAACCGCTTTAGTGCCTCGTGGGAGTCTCTGGTTACAGAGTGGTGGTTTCTCCACCTCTCATAGAGCTTTGATAAGCTCTCTTCGCTCTCTAATTCCTTTTCATGGTAATCAAAGCCTTGGGATGCTTGGAGGAGGATGAGAAAAGAGAAAAGGATCAAGACAAGTTTCATTTTTTCTTAGTTTCTTCTTGTTGGATTTTTTGTTATGTTTATGTCTTTTTGTGGTATGATTAAATGATTAGAGATGGGAACATAAATATAAATATATATTCCCCTTGGATTGCATTATTGTTGTTGTTAATTTAAACAAACACATGTAACTATTGATAATTTTTTTGTTTCAAGGAAATTAGACATAGTCTTTGTAATAACATTCAATCTAGGTAATAATTGATTTTTATATGGTTGAGTAAATTGAGTTAACTCTGTTTATTTAATATTTCTTTTCTAGTAATTTTCTTTTATGAAGATAAAAAACGATTTGTATGTTTCTTCAACTCAATTACCAGTGCCCGTCCAACTTAAATAATGGTCTGAAGATAAAAAAAAAATGTGGCCCATAAAAAAATTATTTTCTAATAAATATTTGTAATTTATTTTTATTTTTTAATATGTGGGCTTCAAAAATTAGTGTTATTCTAATATATATGTGACCCATAAATGTTTTGAAAAAAGGTGATTCTAAGCAATGGCTTAGCCGGCCAAAGCTAATTACCCATAAACCATGAAAATAAGTGAATAATTCTTGCGTCTCCTGATCACCACGGGAACGAGTAAAGCATTTCTTACTGTCTCAAATTCTCAATACATGTGTGTTGTGTATGTGAGAATAAATGACTATTTGAGAAAGCTGGAAGGTGAAAAAATCGTGCGTAGGACGACAAAGCAAGAATGGGTACGTTTCACAAAACACGTGAAACGCAACGAACTTTATGATAAATTAGCATTAAAGTCTAACCAATTTGAGAATTTAGATTTGGTAGAAACAGTTGACGAAAAGAAAAGATTTTGCTAGAAACACAATAGACACGTTCCTTCCCATTTTCCGCGAATTTAAATGCTTAAGATAAGATGGGTTGGGTCCTCCTCATTATGTATTAGTTAGTATATATTTCAGTGGAAATTACTGTTATGCAAAAGCCAATAAGCTCGAGCTGACGTGATTACGTTCCTAACTCATGTTAAGTATACGCCGTATTATATATTTTTGACATTTCAAAACCAAGAATTCAACCGCTTTTTTACTTTGTCTAACACGTTTTGTCAAGTGATAAAGTACATGCAAAATTACGAAAATGTACGTACGACATATGATGTCATATCAGTTTCTAACCTAATAATACGAAGCATATCAGCTCATAAACTTAAAAAAAAAAATACGAAAGAGAGATGGAAAATGAATTTACAGCATATGCCTTGATTCAAGCTATCGCATTATGTGCTATCGTTTTGGTTACTCAACGAATACAACGCAAGCTTGTTTCCTTATTTTATTTATTTTTGTAGTTAGGGAAAAAAACTTATTCGTTACAAACTTACAATGTCTTATCGAACTTTTGTGTAATCAATCAATAAGCAAAATATTGAGAGAATTAAAAAAAAAAAACGAGCCATTTTTATTCAAATTCAAAACCAACATCGCAATCAAATTACTGTAATGCAAAAGCCAATAAGCTCGAGCTGGCGTAACTACGTCCCTTAGCACAATAACTCATGTTAAATTATATACGCCGCATTATATTTTTTTTGAAATTCAACTGCTTTTCGACTTTGTCTAACACGTTTTGTCAAGCAAGATTTTGATAAAGTACATGAGAATTACGAAAATGTACGTACCACACATATGATGTCATATCAGTTTCTAACGAGTACACCGCAAGCTTGTCTCCTTTTTTTTTTTTTTTTTTTAATTTTGTATAGTTAGGAAAATACATATTCGTTACAAGCTAAGCTTACAATTTCTTATCGAACATTTGTGTAATCAATCAATCAATAAGCAAAGATTGAGAAAGAAAAAAACGAGACAGTTTTATTCAAATTCAAAACCAACATCGAAATCAAATCATAGAGAAGAATCTAACAAACATGAATTGATAAGGAAATTGGATCGCCACATGAATATGGTTTTACACAAGGTGTTCACATAATCTAGAGCTCATCTTTGAGATCATCGTCTTCCTTGGCATTTGGATTAGAAGATGAGAGCTTAACCGGATAAGATGCCTCCATGGCAATACCGCAACGTCCTTCAGAATCATCAATCCCTCTCTCGAGCTTTATATAGCCTCCTTCTCCCCATTCAGGTCCCCATGAGTTTCTCACTATCCAATACTTTCTCCCATGTGAGTCACTTCCGTACCCAACCGCTGCCACACCGTGGTTCAGCTCTGTTCCACAATGTCCCGTAAACACTCCCTACAACACATTATACCAAAGACATGACCAATTGTTATATATATATATATATAAATGCCATAGTATTTTCAGTTGAATATTTATATTTTAGTAGCAAGTTCAAATGTAAAAGCATAGTAACTATATTATGGTTCACAATATGAAACTTTATTCTTTTTTTTTTAATTACCTTTGAATAAAACTGAAAATCTGAACTTCCAGCATCAATTGCAACAGATACAGGTTGGTTTGCAACAGCCTTAAGAAGAGCATCTTCGTCGTTTTCGGGTACATCCTCGTGCCCGTCGATCGTCACAGTCACGCCATTGTCCTTTGAAGCATCGCATTTTCCATCAATACCTTCGTAGGGATAGTTATCCTCGGTGGTGATTCCACCGTTCCTCTTGATAAATTCAAATGCAATCTCCATGAGACCTCCGTTACAACCTTGGTTCTGGTAAGTATCACAATCCACTAGTTCTTGTTCAGACAGTGAGACTAGCTTGTTCGTCTTGATCTTGTTGATTCCCTCAACAGCTGCAATTGTAGAGAATGCCCAGCAACTTCCTGGTAATTTTTTTTTATAGCATTTTCAAATCATTAGATCAACAAAGAGATTACATTTAGATCAAATTTAAAGATTTTGTCAATTCAAACATTTTTGTATGTTCTGAAAAAGATTCATCTATTAAACTTATAATATATGATTTTCAGCAAAATTCTTGTAATTGATATAAATAGGCCTTAAAATGCTTGAATCATATGTGCAATATATATAACTTTCATGTCTAACATAATCGACCTTGTTTTATACTTACCGCACTGCCCTTGATTCTTGACTTCCGTGACAGCACCTTTCTCTCTCCAGTCAACAGAGGAGGGAACTCTGGTTGAATTCTCATACATGAACCGTTTCGAGCCACGTCTCGGTCCTTGCAACATTCTGTGATGCTTAATGTTAGAACCGGTGTAGACATTCCTGAACTCATGAACCGTTAAATCTGCAAATTTGTTGAGCTTAAGCTTGTAGGGTTTGTTCTTCTTGTTGGTGTTGTGAACATGCATCACATTGTGTCTGAAAACGTTGAATCTCTTCTCCCTTTCATGGAGGCTCCTAGGAACAGAGTGGTGGCTCCTCCATCTGTCGTAGAGCTTTGATAAGCTCTCTTCGCTCTCTAATTCATTGTCATGGTAATCGAATCCGCGAACGGTTTGGAGAATGAGAAAAGAGGAGAGAAAGATCAAAAGAAGCTTCTTCATATTTTTTTCTGTTGATATTTTTTTTTTTGTAGTTTGAAGTTGAGAGTTTAATGAAATGGTGTTGGATATATATATAGGGAAAGAGAAATAGATTCTTGAGATTCTTGAGATTCTTGAAATATATGAAATGACTAAAATACCATCGACGTTTAAGATGATAATTATTGTGTATAACGTCTTGGTCAGACTTGTGGAACACTTTTAGGATACTTGTACACGCATCTCAGACGAGCAAGGAACCCATTCATTGGTGTAATTTTTTTTTTTAAATAGTTCTAGCCTAATTGGAGCATTCAATGCGGATTTATTAATTGGGAAAAAATAATTTGTAATTAATGGATAGGATTATTCAATAATGGAAAAATCAAGATAAAGCAACAAGTTGCTTAGGCAAATAAGGAGTGCAACAGTTAAGATTAAGATATATATCCGCTAGGATTTGGAAATGATGTGGAACAAGAGAGATGTTCACACCATGGCATTGTACACTTAATTAAGTCTTGTACAATCAAAACATCTCTTCTTCTGTAAGGGATTTAAATTGGGGGAAAATATATATTTCGATCGTGGTTGAAAACAACATGATCAATCTATTTTTTATATATATAAGAGAATTTTCATCTGTTACATGAAATTTTACTAGACAATTCAAACATCAATCTGATTTACAAGCATACAAATTTATCTATCCATGTATAATTTATTTATCCAGGACCACTTAATGATTAATGCACTATTCTTATTTTTCCATGAATCGTGGGAACGTCATGTGTTCTTCCAGGGAGGGAATCGTGTCGATTTGTTTATATCATTCCCATATTTTTCTTTTTGAATAACTTTGGATTATCAACTCCTTAAGACTACGATATGTGAAATTAATAAGAAAAATTGGAATCGTTTAGGATTAGAAATTGGCCAACTTCGAGCGACTTTTATTTGTCTAGATGAGTACCCGCGCGATGCGCGGATTTTTGTTTCAAAATATAATTTGTTAAAACGTTTAAATATAATTTATTTTATTGTATACTTCTTTTTTATGAACAATGATAATATTTTTTAGCTTTGATTTCTAGTCATCCTATTATTTTAACCTGATGATGTAATCTGTTTTGACTATAGTTTACAAATATGTTATAATTAAAAAAAATATATTATTACATATTTTGATTATAATAAGAAAGAGTATTCATCAATTATTATATATTTTATTATTGAATAAGAAAATTAAATTTTTAATGATGATTTATTATATATGAATTTTTCCCTAAAAATATCATGTATTTGAATAAATATATACTATATATATATTGTCGATAATAACTATGTTTGTGATAAATGTTTTGTCACCAGGAAATGTAAATTGTGTTATGCATTTATAAAATATATATAAATTTAATTAGCATATAATTATAAGATAAATAATTAATTAATCTAATTCTGATTGCATTAAAATAATAAATTATTAATTATAAAATTTAAAATGACAGGTGTCATTCTCTCTAATGCTGACGTGATACTCAATTGGAGAGAGTTAGCCATTTTTATATTATAGATAGATTTCTTTACTTTTTTGGAATAGCTTTGGATGATCCAAATTATTATCGGATTAAAATTTGGCCCAACCTCAACCGACTTAAGCCACCCCATTAATTTCAGCGATAGAAAAGTTCATCGATGTCAAATTTTCAATTGATAGGTTTAAGGTTCATTCTGTTTAAGAAGATTTGTTTAAGTTAATTTCGTTTCATGTAGTGGATATGAACGAATCCCCTAATTCTAATAGAATATTGGATTCTTGGCTTAGTACCCGCATCGTGGATGAATCATGGATGCTTCATAATGTAAGGAAAGTAGAACATATATATAATCCGTTTTTCTTATTGAATAATTGAATTTGATCTCGTCATCCTAGGCTCGAGTTGATGAATATTCATACATACCAAAAGATTCAGCTTTTTGAAACGAAAAAAGATTCAATATACCTTTTTGTTTGTGTGACTTTATGGCTCACCAATTGTTTTTTTTTTTTTTTTTTTTTTTTTTTTTTTTGAGAACAGCTCACCAATTGTTTTCCTCTAACTTCCACTGATGAGAATAATGAAGTTAAGAAAATATTTTACTTTTTAAGAAAATATGACTATCTAGTAACTATGATTTTATATGGTTGGACGTAAGCCATTAAAATCACCATAAGTTGGTTTGTGATCATCATCTTGATTTCATGGTACGTACTAGATCATCATGGAGTACTTAAATATGCGTATAGTATGTTTTTTCATCAAAACAAATACTCCTATTTGAAGATCTAAAATACGTGTCGATAGTTTAATTTTCATTTTCAACAAATACCGACTAAATTTTAGTTTTGCAAATCCATGTTATGTTAGTATCTTTAACTTTCGTTTGGCACAAGTTTCATAAGATCCCCGAAAATGCAACGACGTGGTTAGATGTTTACTAGTATCGTGCAAATGACATTATTAGTGAATTGGCTATACGTATTCTTAACTCCAAACCCCAATAATTTAAATTCTCAGTAACGTGTTCCTTGTCACGGGATCGTGGACCGATCCACACAGCTGCCGTGCCTTATAACATAACTTTTTTTCTTTTCTTTTCAACATTTTCTTTCCATTAATCAAACTCTTCGGTTACAACAAGAGAGAATCAAACATTCTCTTTGAACTATATAATAAAGTATTTGACTAATTGTATACTTCTAAAGCTGAAATTTTCATTCTGCAAAAGCAGGATCTGATGAAACTAGAATAATTTTCTTTAGTCAAAGTAACCGTACTTGGATAACATAACCAGTGTTTGGATTCAAACTTTTAGTTGAAATCATTCAAAATTTCAAAATACATCATCATAATATTACAAGATTATTTATTTTAAAAGGAAAAACATATTTTATTGTATTTTTTATGAAATCATGAAAAAAGGAGCAGCATTGGAAAAGTCACAATAGATCATATTAGTGGTAATAAACAGAGAGCGTCATTATTAGTCATTTTGTTGTTAGTAGAAAGCACACAGAACATAAGTAGAGACGAGAGAGAGGAAAAATGATATATTGGGTTTTTGAGGCTTTTTAATAAAAAAATTTCAATGATTTTTTTGAGTCAAAGTGTGCTTCTAGAGTCTTTGAGTCTTTTTATCGAGTCTTTTCAGGTTTTATGTTGTTTTAGAAGAAAATGAACCGTTTTGGGTGCAAACGAAATATGTGGATGCAGAACTATGGAGGAATGTTCTAAGTTTGGCATTCGTTGAAGTACTTCCCACCGATGAATCGAGCTGAAATTTGTACACACGCTATATCTTTGAGTTAGATTTCATTTGGAGGTGGTTTGAAGTCAATCCAACGGTGTGATCAAAAGTTATGCCAATGTGAAAACAGTTCAGTCTGGTGTGCACAGAAGACCGAAGAATTTCCCGAGAGAAATTAGATCGAGCGATCTAGATTTGGATCAATCGATCCGAAGTTCAAAAATTACCCGAGACATTTTATATCAATTGATCCGAGAGGCCCTGGATTTGCCGAGAGGATTTAGATCTATCGATCCAGGGTCTTAACCAGCCAGTTTGGTCATGCATAAATAAGGAAACTTTAAGTTTTTCCTATTTTGACTTGGTTTTCGATAATCTCTCATCCAATTCGTGCCTGGACCTATAAATACTTGTTTTTTCAGCCATTGTTTAGGTTTATCCTCTTCTTTTACATTCATACTTTTAGGTTTTGTGCTTTGTAAGCTTAGGGAGAAGAATCTCTACATCTTTTAAGAAGATTTCTGAACCCTTTTGGATTTCTTATTTATTGATTATGAATTTCTCTTCATCTCCTTGTTGTTTCCCTGCTTCCATGTCTGAATAGTTTCATAGTTAGGTTTAGGATTTTCAAAGAATTAATGAATCATTGAACTAAACATAAATAGGGTTATTCATCTATTGTCTTCATCTATTGTTGTTCTCATTGCCTAGATTAATTTGATCATTTAATCTCTGATTTAGGGTTTAATCTATTTATGAAAGTGCTTTAGATTGCTTGATAGAACATAGGTGATTAAATTGTCTTTAGCCAACGAAAGCTGATGTTAAGGCAGTCTGTGAACAAATCGAACATGTTCATTTATGCTTGTTTAGAATTTTAAGTTCAAACGAAAGTTTAGATACTTAGGTTGCTAGAAAATGTCTTTGATGCCACGAAAGTGGATTAATTATACCTTTATGTTTGAGTTCTAGATTGTTCTATAAACTCCCCTGAATAACTGTCTGGTTCTTGATCTCTGAATTCCTGCGAAATACCTAGACCTTCTTATATTGTCCTTAAACCACTTTTATTTGTTATTTTCGTTTTACATTACATTCAACAATCCATATTCATGTCTTAGCTTAGTTTCTTTCATTAAAATTTGCAGTGTGACACTTGGTCCTTGTGGATTCGATCTCTACTTCACTACATCATTTGCTGTGCATTTGTAGTAGTTCTATATGATTAAAACTCTATGTATCAAAAAACCAAAAACACTGATAAATAAAAAGCTGTTTTCACATTTTTTGCGGTTTTCTCCTTTTGTGTAATTTCAAACTATAGGGTTTCCTTATACTACAAAGTTGCCTATGTTAATCTCCTACAAAAAAACGAACGCAACAAATTAATTAGAGTCATGAGTTGGTTTAGAAATTCAGAATAATAATAAGAAAGTTACCAACCCATAAGTATGAATCCATTCCATTTTTAGCAACACTGGAGAACCAGCAGAACAACTGACACTTAACTCTCCATCAAACAATATCATTCGGTCCCCCATTTGGATAGGCATGGTGAGGTCGTGCTCCAGAATTATAACAGATCTCTTTATGTGCAATAGGTATGTCCTTATTGTCTATGCATCTTTTATCCTCTGAAATGAACCTAGATGAGCACTCAACTCATCTATCATGAAGATGTCTGCTTGGCAATTTCCCAAGGTGAGTGCGATCGAAAGGTTTTGGTTCTCAAAGGAAGAGAGTTCGCATCCCATTGGATCGCAGAAACTGCAGAAGATACCTTGTTACAAAAGTAATGAGGCAAGAATGGAACAACATATGGGTAAATTTATACGGTTGTTTGTAATTGAAGATCCAACATACAAGATAATAAGTTATGGTAAACAATAAGTTTGCATAAAAATTAATTATTAGTATTTTTGAGCGATATTACAATTAACTTTAGGTTTATATATTTGCTGTTTATAATCATTAACTATGTGTTATTTTAGTTAAAAAAATGCATGGTTGGAAATGAATAAGACATTATTCCATGGTAGGAGTTTTTTTAAATGATTTAGGAAAGTGTTATGATTAATCAAAAATTTAGGAGTAAGTTTTGTGCAATTTTATTTTATATCTTGATGTATTTTCAACCTAAACTATTTAGGAAGAGAACAGTTTACTTAATTAGTTTGGTTTGGTTTAATTGATTTATAAGAAAATCAAGTAAAATAAATTTTGTTATTCGGGTTTAGAGACCAGGTATGCTATATATCATCTCAATATTGGTGTTTGAAACTTTGAACTAGTGATATTTCCAACTCTTTTCTTTTGAAATGGTCAAGTGGTACACCGATTGAGTTATCGACACAGTAAGAAGTAGTTTGTTAATGATGATACATTATAGTGATTATATATGATTATACATTCAAAATTATTTTTCTATCGATAGTGAAATCAAAATATAAAATGTACTGAAAATCGTTATGTAAATAACACAACTGGTCGGAAAAAAATACACAATTGTTTCAACTTAACTCTTTAATATTTACATTCACAAACCTGTCTAACAAGTAAAAGGCAAAAACACAATCAAACCCAAATAATATTGAGAAAGCAGAAGAATGATAAGTCACAAGAAACATGATTTAAGGATAATGGTAGAAATTTGAGTCAACTATAACCCTCAGATTAGTAACCACTTAATAGATCTGGAGCAAGCAATCTCAATAGTCGTCGAAGTACGCATCTCAAGATCACCAATGCCACAGCAACCCCGTTGCAGAATCTATATTGAAATACTAATTACCATGTTCTTGGATCGTTAAGGAACTTTGAATGCTAATCATCCTTCTCGTCAAAGAAACTAAGCAGAGAATCAGCACTTGTTCTCATTGACTGAGACAAACATCGAGTTAAAAGAAAACAATCAAAACAATCGGACTTTGGCCTAATCTGAGGTAATACAAAGTGATTCCAGGTCTCTCAAATAGCTCAAAATGAGTTAAATCTCATGCAACACACTTAGCTTCAGATTCAAAACTATATGACACTATCCTTAGTGGGTTAAGGTTTCCAGGATCCAATATACGATCAATGCCACTAATTAAAGTCAATACGATCACAAAACTCAAGCCTTTAAACAAATATCAGCTTTCTGATTAGGTACAAGAGACCTCGAGAACTCGGACGATGCAAGAAGGAAAACTTTGAACATCATCTTAGCAAAATCACTTGGACAATGCCTTCATCTTATTACAGTAATTGTTTCTTGAAAAAAATTCAACACTAACAAAAGGCAATTGGCAAGTTCTCAAGATTCAAAATGTTGAAATTATATAACACAGAGCTAACATTGCAACTGTGTGGAAATCGATGAGATTCTTGGCAAAAGCAAACGACTGTAACGAGAAATACAATATATAGATTCCTCAATACTTTGTAACATTATCGATCTATTTCAAAGAAAAAAATGTTTTAGAAGACAAAAAGGCTTCAACTTTCTCACCGGAATATTAGCAAAAGGGAAATCGAGCAAGCAAGCAAGCAATCTCTACGATCTGCTCTTCCTGAGTTTCCTGTACTTGTGCTTGTTCATCTTCTTCTTCCTCTTCTTCTTCACACTGTCTGCGTATATCACCGCCTCCTTCTCATCCATCTCCTCCATCACCGCGTCCTCGAACGACGCCGTATCGATTAGACCCGGATCATGAACCACACTCGGGTTAAAACAGTACCCGATTGGGAGACTCGGGTAAAAGTGCAGAGATTTATCGGAGACGGTAATCACCGGGTTGGTAAAAGGAACTGGATCGAGTTCTACAGATAAAGGTTCGACGTTGCTGATGCAGGGCTTCTGATGAGCGAATAGATTGGGAGTGAGCCTCGGGATTATTGACCTTAGACATGATTGGTTCCTGAGAAACCTGTGCGTGAGATTCGCCATTGCAGATTTAAAACCCTAGAAATGATGAGAGTGTGACACGAGCGAAGCCGACGATGGTCGTTCGTAGTTACCTCCCGTCATCTTCTGATCCAGAGAGGTTTTTGGGCCTTTTTAGATTTACACGTTCAAATGTTACGACGTCGTTTTGGGTTTGAACGCATTGATTCTGAAGTAAAAAATTTAAAATGATGCCCTCACGCAGGATCGAACTACGGACCTTCAGTTTACAAGACTGACGCTCTACCACTGAGCTATAAGGGCATCTTTGCTCAAACATTTGTCTTCTCTTCAAAATTTTGAAACTTTTAAAATACAAGAGCATATATTTTTGGGTGAAACTGACAGTGAAAAAACTATGGGGGTAAATACTACAACATGATCGAAAATAGTGGGTAACTTTGCAAAAAGGTACGCGCACGATAGTCCTTTTACACTCGTTGCGTAATTGAGTTGCGTGAATTTTCCGCTATTATGCGCTATCACCATCACTTTCCCCATTCTTCTAAACCCTGAAGTCTCCGATCACCTCTCTCTCTCTGCTTCTGGCTCCATTGAATTGAATCTCCTTCTCTCTTATCACGGGAAGCTTTCTATTACAGAATATGAAGGTACTCTTTTCAGTCTTTCACTCGCGATCGATTGGATTATTTGATTTTCATTTCATTCTGAAAGTTTCGACTGAGATCACTAAGATTATAAAAATGATTTCGAAATCGGAATTCTAGTTAGCAATGAATTTTCAATTCTAGTTAGATTCGCTGTTTTTGTCTATCAATTATGGATGATTGAACTTATCCCGAAGAATTAGATATATAGACACAAACGATTGATCTTATATTACTCCGATGGTCATGAATTGAAGTGTTATAATCTCAGTTCGTTGCTAATTGTTTTTTTGTGTACTGATTTGTATTTTGTTTTTGCGGCGATGTTGGTTTGTAGCAATTCTGGAACCCAAACAGTATCAACAAGAACAAAGCTATGGTGGAGAATCTGCAAAATTATGGCGTAATTACCTCTGATGAAGTTGCTAAAGCCATGGAGTCTGTGGACAGAGGCATCTTCGTACCAGATCGCTCCTCTGCTTACGTCGACAGTCCTATGTCTATTGGGTATAACGTGACGATATCAGCACCTCACATGCACGCAATGTGCCTTCAACTTCTCGAAAAGAATCTGAAACCAGGAATGCGTGTTCTTGATGTCGGCTCGGGTTTGTTTCTTCAGTACATAGTAATTGGATTTTTGCTTGCTTGCTTGCTTTTGGATGATGATGGTTGATGATGAATAAGCATATGCTCAAATCTTGATAGGGACCGGGTACTTAACAGCTTGCTTTGCGGTTATGGTTGGATCCGAAGGGCGTGCTATTGGTGTGGAACACATCCCTGAGCTGGTGGCTTCTTCAGTCAAGAACATTGAAGCTAGTGTTGCTTCGCCATTGATGAAAGAAGGATCTCTCTCTGTTCACGTTGGCGGTGAGATTCAAGATTTAAGTTTTTCGAGATTCGTTTGGTTTTACATTTGCTGGTTCAGTGAGTTGTTGTTGTTTGTTTCGAATAGATGGAAGGCAAGGATGGGCTGAGTTTGGGCCTTACGATGCTATTCATGTCGGAGCAGCAGCACCGGAGATCCCGGAGGCGTTGATTGATGAACTGAAACCCGGTGGGAGACTGGTGATCCCGGTCGGGAACATATTCCAAGATCTGAAAGTTGTGGATAAGAACTCGGACGGTTCGGTTAGCATTAAAGACGAGACTTCAGTCCGTTATGTTCCTTTGACCAGCCGTGAAGCACAATTGAGAGGGGAGTGATGAGTCTTCGTTTGTACATAACATTTGAATCAAGTAAGCTCACTTTGGCATTGTTTTTAATTTAGAATAGCAACTCGAGACCTTAAAATCTCAAACATACATTTGCTCAGTACAACTTTCAAATGATCAAAACATGTTTGTTGAAATGAAAACATAAACATAATAGTAAAGCATATAGATATAGCAATGCCTTGAGTCTAAGTAGTTGGTGATGCAATCACGTAAAGAGGGAACTCACGGCGAATCACAGTACCGACTGATTCAGCGATGTCGGCCTGAAGATCTTCTGTAGCTTGCCAATCAAACCCATGAATCAAGTTAGCCAAAGCCACTTCATTCAACACCTCAGCGAATGATATCCCTGGGCACATCCTCCTCCCTGATCCAAAAGGGATCAGCTCAAAATCCTGACCACGGTAATCAGCAGACGAGGTTAGATGCCTCTCCGGTTTAAACTCCTCCGCGTCTGGTCCCCACGTCGCGACCTCTCTCCCGATCGTCCAAAGATTGATAATAGCCAACGAACCGGCCGGTACGTTTTGATCTCCTAATTTGATGTCTTCAATCAATTTGTGAGGAACCATCAATGGAACTGGAGGATGTAGCCTGAGCGTCTCCTTGACCACAGCTTTCAAGTAGATCATGTCTTGAAGGTCGTCTTCTGATACGCTCGATTTCCCCTTACAAATCGTACGGACTTCTTCTTGAATCTTTTTCAGACACTCTGGGTGACGTAGAAGCTCTGTTAGTTCCCATTCCAAAAGCGTCGAGGATGTGTCTGAACCACCCACAAAAGCGTCCTAAAAATTGAAAACCAAAACAATAAGAACTATATATGTGGTTATATACTATAAATCATTATTGGATCTGAATTCGATTTTCTTTTTTCCTTTACCAAGAGGATTGCCTTAATGCTGCTCCTGTTGATCTCAAACCCAATGCTCTTGTCTTTCTGAAGAGAGAGTAATACATCGGCGAAATCATTCCCATGTCCGTCTCCAGCTTCATGATCTTGCACAACTTTCTCCATGAGCACATCAAAATCCTTTGCCGTCTTTTCGAGTTTAGCATCCAAACCGCAGATCCAATCGATCCACGCGAGCCACGGTACATAGGTCCCGATGGTGATGATACCCAACTGCATCATGAGCCGGTCTATCAACTCTTTGTTATCTGTTCCAGCGCCGTATTTCCGTCCCAGAGCAACTCTGCATATAATGTCGTTAGATAAAGTCGCCAAGAGCGGGCTTAGATTCACCGGCGAGGAACTCGCTTTCCGGATCTTGTCCATCATCAGGCTGATCTCTTCTTCTCTCACCTCTCGAAAGGAACGTACCATTTTGTTGCTTAGGAGATGAAGGACAAACACGCTCTTCATTTGTCTCCAATACTCACCGTAAGGAGCACCGGCCATGTTAAGTCCCCCGAAGATAAGCTTTTTGACGATTCTTGAGTCTGGTCGGCTCGCAAAGACGCGGTCGTGCGTCTTCAAAACCTCTTGAGCAGCCTCCGCGGTAGAGGCTACAAGAACGGGGACAGAGCCAAAGTGAAGGAGCATGATAGGTCCGTAACGTTTGCTGAGGGTGTATAGTGTTCGGTGAGGATGCTTGCCGAGCTGATGAAGGTTTCCGAACAACGGAAGCCCCGGTGGTGATGGGAATGTGCTGTGTTTCTTCCCTTTTTTGAGGAAGAGAACGGCAATGAAAAGTATCAAGCACAGGACAAGTATCATGATGATGTTTTGTGAATTTGGATTCTTCAAGTTTTTTCTCGTGAAGTGTTTTCTCTAGATCTTTGTGTTCTTCTTGTGGACTTGAGTAAATAATATATAAGCCAAGTTTCTATACGTTACGTTACTAGTGTCCACTCAAATTTTCTTCTTTTTTTTGCCTAAATTTGGATTTTAATAGTTGATTCAATATACTGTAATTCTCTCAAATCTTACATATAAAAGGTAAAAAATCTCTCCATATTGTATGACATGACACCCAAGCAGATAAGAATTAAATTGATACGTATTATTTTTGGTATATAAAGATAAAATTTAACAGAAAAATCTTTGACCAAACAAAAAATTTAGTATCTTATTTGTTAGATTTTTTTTAATAGCTACAAGGTCCACAAAAACTATTTATCTCCAAAAAGATATATATCCCTTATTGTATATATTCAAATAACATTTCATAATTCAGTTGTAATTCTACACCGATTTATAAAAGTTTTCGTCGGTAAAACATAGAAGCAAAATGGTTATTCAGGGTTGATATATATTCCAAGATTTCATTTTGATAATACATATAAGCAAAAAATAGATAAAAATACTAAAAAGTCCACAAGAATATTACAGACACTGACACTGGTAGAGCATGCATGCTACTTCATTTTAATTTTGTTTATGCATGCTTGTATCCACTATCTAAATCTTACATTTACTTCTTCTTTTTTTGTTACAGTAAATAACATGTTTAAGATTTTGATATTTATTACATAATAAAGGCTCCTAGATTTGATAAGCACCAGACAAAAAAACAGGGCCAATGCAAATCGAATTTCCGATCCTCTTTGCTAGTAAGAGATTCAAATGAGTAAAAACATGTCTGTACACATAACATAACAAAGCATGCATGTATATATAATGCCTAAGTCAAGTAGTAGTAGATGATGCAATGGCGTAAAGAGGGAACATGCGGTGAATCGTAATTTCAGTTGATTCAGCGACACCGGTCTGGTCTTTTGTAGATTCAACCGGGAATCTCCAATCAAACCGATGCACTAAGTTAGCCAAAACCACCTCATTCAATGCCGCAGCAAAAGATATTGCTGGACAAATTCTTCTCCCTGCTCCAAATGGAATCAGCTCATAATCTTGACCTCGGAAATCAACTGACGAATCTAAATGCCTCTCCGGTCTAAACTCTCCTGCGTCTGGTCCCCATGTCGTAGCCTCTCTCCCGATCGCCCAAACATTTATTATAACCTGCGTACCGGCAGGTATGTGATAATCTCTTAATGAGACATCTTGTGTTGATTCATGAGGAACCATCAATGGAAGTGGAGGATGTAGCCTGAGTGTCTCTTTCATCACAGCTTTTAAGTAGTTCATATCTTGAATGTCTTCTTGTGATACACTCGATTTTCCCTTACAAATCGTACGGACTTCTTCTTGTAGTCTGTTCAGACACACTGGGTGACGTAGAAGTTCTGTCATAGCCCATTCCATAAGTGTGAACGATGTATCTGTACCACCCACAAAAATATCCTGAAAACCAAAATAAGAACTGTATATGGTTAAATACTAAAACATCATTGAATCTGAAAAGTGTGTGTATTTTTTCCTTACCAAGATGATTGCCTTTATGATGAGCCGGTCGATGTCAAAACCAACGCTCTTCTCTCTCTGAATCTTGAGCAATACATCCACAAAATCGTTCCTATCTCTGTCACCATCTACATGATCTTGCACAACTCTCTCCAAGAACTCATCAAAGTCATTTCCTATCTTTTGTAGCTGACCATCCAGACCACGGATCCAATCAATCCATGCAAGCCACGGGACATAAGTCCCGACACTAAACGCGCCCAATAGCATTTGGAAACCTTCCAGTAACTCCTTAAAATCTGTTTCACCGCTGTATTTCTTCCCCAAAGCAACTCTACTTATAACATCGTTAGTTAAACTCGCCAAGAGCTTGCTTAGATTCACCGGTGAAGAACTTGAGTTCCGGATCTTTTCCATCATCACACTGATCTCTTCTTCTCTTACATCTCGAAAGGAACGTACCATTTTGTTGCTAAGGAGATGGAGGACACACACACTCTTCATTTGTCTCCAATACTCTCCATAAGGAGCCGAGGCCACATCACGCCCGTCGTAAAGAAGCTTTTCGAAGATTTTAGACCGTGGACGGCTCGCAAAAACTCTGTCGTGCGTCTTCAAAACGTCTCGAGCTGCATCTGCCGAAGAGACTACAAGAACGGGGACACGGCCAAAGTGAAGGAGCATGAGAGGACCGTAACGGTGGCTGAGGGAGCATAGTGATCGGTGAGGATGGTGACCGAGCTGATGAAGGTTTCCGATCAACGGAAGTCCCGGTGGTGAAGGGAATGTGTTGAGTTTCTTCCCTGTCGTCTGATTTTTGAGGAAGAGAATGGCAATGAAAAGTATAAAGCACAAGAGGAGTATCATGATCATATTTTGGAATTTTGGATTCTTTAATTTTTTTTCTCGTGAAGAGTTTTCTTAAGATTCTTGTGTTGTTCTTGTGGACTAAGGTAAATAATATATAAGCCAAGTTTCTATACGTGTTACGTACGTCATTACTAGGGTCCAGTCAATATTTCTTCTTTCTTGCTTAAACTGGAAAATAAAATTGGACTAGATATAGTTCTATCAAATCCGATATATAAATTATAAAAGCTTTATATACAAGTGACAGCCAAGCACATAATAATTAAACTGGCACGTATTAGATTGACAAGTATCTAAAAGTAGGATCAAATAGAGTTTTTTGGATGAACATGGCATCAAACTTTAAGAAATATCATATCTAGCATTTTTTGGATTATGACAACTTTTTTACTTTTATCTAGTTTTCAAATAAACAAAAATATATATTAAAAATATTAGAAAAGAGAAAAATTTCGCGAGGATATTGACACGTAGTAACAGCCGTTATTTAGGTTGATATATTCCAATCTTTTATAAGCATAAAATAGAACAAAAATCCTAAAAAAGTCCACAAGATTACAGACAGGAGTATTGAGCACGCATGCTACTTTATTTTTGTTCATCATGCATACTACTAATCAAGTAATGATGCATACTATCTAAATCTTACATCTACCACTTCTTTTGGTTACAATGAACAACATGTATAAGATTTTAGTATTTATTAAATTGTTATATATAAAAAGTTCCCTACATTTTGATAAGCACCACACACAGAAAAACAAGGCGAACTCAAATCGAATTTCCGACACTCTTTGCCAGTGAAGAACATGAGCAGAAACATGTTTGTGTACACATAACATAACAACGCATGAATATATATAATGCCTAAGTCAAGTAGGAGATGATGCAATGGCGTAAAGAGGGAACATGCGATGAATAGTAATTCCAGTTGATTCAGCGACACCGGTCTGATCTTCTGCAGATTTAACCGGTAATATCCAATCAAACTGATGCACTAAGTTAGCCAAAACAAGCTCATTCAATACCGCAGCAAATGATATTGCTGGACAGATCCTTCTCCCTGCTCCAAATGGAATCAGCTCAAAATCCTGACCTCGGGAATCAACAGACGAATCTAAATGCCTCTCCGGTCTAAACTCCTCCGCGTCTGGTCCCCACGTGGCAGCCTCTCTCCCGATAGCCCAAACATTGATCATCACCTGTGTACCGGCAGGTATGTGGTAATCTCTTAATCTGACATCATGTGTTGATTCGTGAGGAACAAGCAATGGAAGTGGAGGATGTAGCCTGAGTGTCTCTTTGATCACAGCTCTTAAGTAGTTCACGTCTTGAATGTCTTCTTGTGATACATTGCATTTTCCCTTACAAACCGTACGGACTTCTTCTTGGAGTCTGTTCAGACACTTTGGGTGACGTAAAAGCTCTGTCATAGCCCATTCCATAAGTGTGTACGATGTGTCCATACCACCAACAAAAACATCCTGCAAACTAAAACAAGAACTATATGGTTATATATATCAAAACAAAATTCGTACCAATTCAAAAGTGTGTGTATTTTTCATTTACCAAGATGATTGCCTTTATGCTGAGTAGGTCGATTTCAAAACCGACGCTCTTAATTCTCTGAATAGCGAGCAATATATCCACAAAATCAGTCCTATCTCCATCACCATCTACATGATCTTGCACAACTCTCTCCAAGAACTCATCAAATTCATTTCCTGTCTTTTGTAGCTCATCATCCAAACCGCGGATCCAATCAATCCATGCAAGCGACGGGACATAAGTCCCGACGCTAAACACGCCCAATAGCCTTATGAACCTCTCCAATAACTCCTTAAAATCAGTTTCCCCGCTGCATTTCTTTCCCAAAGCAACTCTACATATAACATCGTTGGTTAAATTTGCCAAGAGGTTGCTTAGATTCACAGGCAAAGAATTTGAGTTCTTGATATTTTCCATCATCAGACTGATCTCTTCTTCTCTCACGTCTCGAAAGGAACGTACCATTTTGTTGCTAAGGAGATGGAGGACACACACACTCTTCATTTGTCTCCAATACTCTCCATATGTGGCTGATGACACATCACGCCCGTCGTAAAGAAGCTTCTCGGTGATTTTAGTCCGTGGACGGCTCGCAAAGACGCGGTCGTGCGTCTTCAAAACGTCTCGAGCCGCATCCGCCGAAGAGACTACAAGAACGGGGACACGGCCGAAGTGAAGGAGCATGAGAGGACCGTAACGGTGGCTGAGGGAGCATAGTGATCGGTGAGGATGGTGGCCAAGTTGATGAAGGTTTCCGATCAACGGAAGTCTCGGTGGTGAGGCTGGAGTGTTGCTTTTCTTTTGTGTCGTCTGTTTTAGAAAGAAGAGGATGGTAATGAAGATTATTGTGTATAGAAGAAGTATCATCATCATTGTTTGCACCTTTTCTAAAAAAACTATTGCGAAGTGTTTTATAAGGTTTTGATGATATTCTTTTGGACTTATGTATATGTAGAAGCCAAGCTTCTCCACGGAACGTAACTACTGTCCACACAAATTTTATTCTGTTCTGCCTAACATGGATGATGAAAAGTTGAGTACATATTGCCCCTCTTGACAATCAATTATATATCACAGATACTTACAAAATGGCTTTTTGTTTGATAAAGAAGTCTATGAAAAAAAGAACAAAAAAAATCTGTGAACAAGTTCTTTTCTACGAATAGTGTTTGTATATCACATAAAATTAATGGATAAGGTATTGATACCTCACGGTTTGGCATACGTACTTGTATATAAAGAGAATACAATGTACAGTCATAATTTACAGCTCATTAATCAGAAAATATTTTTCACGAATTTCTGTACAGTCACATTCTATATTTTCTTCAAACTTGCAATGTTTTAGAAAATGCTTGTGATGCTTTTTCTTCAGCTCCTTCAGTTTCCTTCTTTCTCCTACCCATCAAAGAAGGAAAAGATCTAGATTGGGCCGAACCTAGATATATGGGCCTGTCATAAAATTCAAATCCATTTAAGATCCGGTTTAGATTTGTTTACTTTACCCACTTAAACTGTGTTGTCGCCAATTGGATTGCACCAGCGCATGCAATGGCGTTAAGAGGGAACATGCGGTGAGTGATTCGCAAATCGGTATACATGTTGATTCAGCGACACGTATCTGATCTTTTATAGATAATTAGAGAAGCACACTAATCCTAGAATCGATCATAGCATTGGAAAAGTGGTATAAAAAAGAGACGAAAGAAATGATGGAAATAAATTATTTCAGGGTTTCAATTTTAAATGAAGAGAAGGAAGTAAATAAAAATAAAATACAAAGTAAATAAAGAAACAATCATGCACAATTTTAATACTATGCTTCGCCATCATTTGCTCTTATTTGCCTCCCCACTTCTCTCTCTCTCTCTTTTCTTTTTTTTGTCAGTTGTGAGTGTTTCAATAAACAAAAAGTAGACCCGCATTTCTGTGTCATTTTATTTATTTATTGGCAGTAATAAAGAAATGAAGCACAGTGGATAAGAATCCTGTTCTAATAGGTAGGTATACAAAATGATACTATATGATTAACCAGGTGGAACATCATTTCTTTAATCAAACTATGTGAAAACATTCTCTCCATGCATGGTTGTTACTTATAATTGAAAGTTTGGGACATTAGAAGGAAATAGTTATCTATTCAAATATTCAGTGAGGCAGATAATCATCTGAAAATTTTCATTAAATTCCAGATAAGAGAACACATATACCAAAAGTTAACTTTGGTCGAGTAAGATAATACTTTAACGAATCATGCAATTGCATTATAAGTTTGAGGAGGTTAGGCGAACCTTCTTTTCGTTAATTTTAATTTTTAATCTACTAATGTACTTTTATCTATTTATTTTTATTTGTTTTTTTTGAAAAAAAAAAATTTTGCGGGGTTGAGGAAAAAAGAAACATAGAGATATGATTATAACCCCCAAAAGCAATGCAACCATTCATACTTCTTGCAATGTATTGTTTTCTTTAACCCGTGTAAATAAAAGACAAGATAAGAAACCTTTTGAACTTTTCACCGAAAAGCATAAGTAATAAACTGCACACTTAATTGACTTTTTTACTCTAATCACCTAAATATTGCTTTTCAATTACAAAACAAAAAGTGCAAAAGTGAATCCAGAGTCATAGATTGCATTTATATACATATATATTGACGTATATATATCATCTTTTCTTGCAAGTAATAAGGAAATGAAGCAGAGTAGACGAATGAACCCTGGACTAGAAGGTGTACACAATGAAAATATATATGATTAACCAAGTGGAACATCATCTTTCTTCATGTGAAAACGTTCTCTTCATGTTGGGGTTTGTTGCTCATACTAGGGACGTTAGAAGTAAATAGTTTATATTTAGTAAAAATTTTAACAAATTTAATCTCAACATCCGGATTTAATTTGTAAAGACGGAAGCTCTAATTATACGTTGACCAAGATATCATGTGGAAACTTGACAAAAATCGAGCCAAAATTTAACTTTGATTGAATCAGATAGCTAATGTTTTTAAAGAATCGTGTATTGTAAATTTAACTCCGAAGCTTTCATGTTTGCTTCTCCGCTCTTGGCTTTATCTCGGCTTTCCAAGTGTTCTCAAGAATGTTATCGCTGCATCTCCAAACCGAGAGTTTAAAAGCTTATGGTTCGATGCACCGATTGTTTTTTGCTTCCATGTGTTTTATTCTTTTTTGCCATGGAACCAATTAGATAGGTTTGGACATTTTGTTAAGCAATTTGTAAAACCTAAATCTTCATTTTTAATGATATTTACAATTCAACAAAAAAATAAAAATTTAACTCGAGCAGTTTAATCGAGCCTTGTTCTCGATAACTTTAGTTTAATTTACTGCTGTACTTTATATTATCTAATTTTTTTTTTCATCTAAAAGGTATTTTATTAATAACTATGGTTACAATTATTGTTTACAAAAGAATGAAGAAATAATAATATAAACACTATGAATTTGGTGAGCGTGCACCCGTTTTGGCTAATATCTAATTTTCTTTTGTTTTCTTGTTTCTAAGTTACTTTTTTTTTTAATTTCTTTTTGCGGAATTGACAAAATTAAACATAAGGTATGAATGAATGTGAGCCCCAAAAGCAGCGATTCAACAATTCCCACTTCCTGCAGTCTATTGTTTTCCTTTTTCTTTTAAATAACCAGTGTAAATAACTAAATACTTTCTCAAAAAGATAAAAATAATAGCCAATGTAAATGAAAGACAAGATAAGAAACCTTTCGAACTTTTCACCAAAAAGCATAGTAAACAGCACACTTAATTGACTTTTTACTCTAATCACCTATATTTGCTTTTCTATTACAATACAAAAAGTGTAAACGTAGAAAATATTCAGAGTAACTACAAGCAAAAGTTATTCACATTTAAAAACGTAATTTCGTTTTCTAATCTTCATAACATTTATTAAATTGCTGTATTTTAATGTCTTTGATAATGACTCTTGTATAAATAATTCATGTCTTTAAAATATAGCTAGAAGGATAGAAAATTAGTCTTAAAAAACTTAACTTGTTTAGCATTTCATAATTACTAAACAGTGTCGATTACTGATAATACATCTCAAATACATTTAACAATCAATACCACATGTGACCAGAGAAAATATAATAATTATACCATAAATTTACCAGTGAAATGAAATCATATGTACTCAATACACAAAGTCTCAGACTACCTATAGTAAGCGGGATTAGTGTCTTAATTCCCGGAAAATAAAGTTTTCATAAAGAAAAAAAGTGATGATTACGCTTTAATTTTACATGAATTCATGTAAATTTTGTACTCACTCCATCGCACAATCTTTCATATTGTAAAGGGCGACAGAGAGAAGACAGAGAGAGCATTTGTAGCCGACAAGAAACATTTTTGGTAGAAACACAAAAAGCATATTTGCAGGTCTTTACGATAATATTGGTTTGCTAAATTGTCTGATAAGAAACAGCAAAACCAAAAAACAGAAAAGTTTGGATATTTTCTGAAGAAAGAGATCTAATGGGTGTTGTTAGTGTTCCTGAGTCGAAGCAAAGTGTTTCTGTGAAAAGAGCATTTCGTCCAAGTTCCAGCATCAGAAACACTCCTCAATGGTACTCATCTCTCACCTTTCTTTTCTGATACAAACATAAAGATTCAACATTTTTGGCTTATGGGTCCTCAAAAGATAACAACTTTCACCAAGTCTCTTGCACAAAATCCCGATTTCTCAATAAGTTTTGTGTGTGTGTGTGTTTCCAGGCCAGTCTCAGAAGTTACGAGTGACTTAACCATTGAAGTAGGCTCTGCAAGCTTTTGTCTTCATAAGGTAACCAAATTCAAACTAAACTCGTCAATGAGAAGACAGAAAATTCATTTACCTCTGTGTTTTTCAGTTTCCTCTCGTCTCTCGGAGTGGAAGAATAAGGAAACTTCTTATGGATTCAAAAGACACGAAGAACGCTTATCACCTGAACCTAACCGCAGTTCCCGGCGGCTCTGAGGCGTTTGAAACCGCTGCAAAATTCTGCTACGGCATCGTCGTCCAGTTCTCGTCGTCGAACATCGCGGCGTTGCGATGCGTGGCTCATTACCTCGAGATGACAGAGGAGTTGTCGGAGAAGAATCTCGAGGCGAGAACAGAGGCTTACCTGAAAGACTCGATCTTTAACGACATATCGAGCTCCATCACCGTTCTTCACTCTCTCGAGAAGCTATTGCCTATCGCTGAAGAGATTAGCCTCGTCGGGAGGCTCGTGAACGCGATCGCTGTAAACGCTTGCAAAGAACAGCTCGTCTCTGGTTTGCTCAAGCTTGATCAGAAATTCGGCTGCGTCGGGATATCGCCGCCGGAGAATACGGAGAAACCCTCTGATTGGTGGGGAAGGTCTCTTCCCATCCTCAAGCTCGATTTCTTCCAGAGAGTTGTCTCCGCCATGAAATCAAAAGGTCTTAACCACGAGATCATCAGCGAGATCCTTATGAGCTACGCTCGGAAGTCACTTCAGATCATCAGAGAACCGAGTCTCGTCAAAGGAAACGCGATTCTTGATTCGGATCTGCAGAAGAAACAACGAATCATCCTCGAAGCCATCGTGAGTCTCCTCCCGACGCAAGCGAACAAAAGCTCGATCCCGATCTCGTTCCTGTCAAGCTTGTTGAAGACAGCTATAGGATCTGGAACCTCCGTTTCTTGCAGATCGGATCTTGAGAGGCGTATAAGCCACCAGCTTGAACAAGCGACTCTTGAAGACATCTTGATCCCGGCGAGCATCGGCGCCGTGTACGACACTGACTCGGTGCAAAGAATCTTCTCCATGTTCCTGAATCTCGACGAGTGCGACTACGAAGACGATGGTGAGGATGTGGTGGATGAGAGCGAGATGGCTATGTACGATTTCGAAGGGCCTGAGTCTCCGAAACAGAGCTCCATCTTCAAGGTGTCGAAGCTGATGGATAGTTTTCTAGCTGAGGTTGCTCTCGACTCGAACCTCCCTCCTTTCAAGTTCACAGCTCTCGCTGAGCTTCTCCCTGACCATGCCCGTGTCGTCTGCGATGGGCTTTACCGAGCCATTGATATCTTCCTCAAGGTAAATCAATATCAAAAAGCTAGAGCGTCTCCTTATTAATCTTATGATTCTTGATCTGATAATTAGAGTTGGATTAGGTTCATCCCAACATGAAAGATTCAGAGCGTTACCGTTTATGCAAGACAATCAGCTGCCAGAAACTGTCTCAAGACGCAAGCAGCCACGCGGCACAGAACGAGAGGCTTCCTATTCAGATCGCGGTTCAAGTCTTGTTCTACGAGCAGACGCGGCTCAAGAACACGATGACCAACGGCGGTGGTGGTAGCGGCGCGGGCGGTACGAGTCAAAGCCAGTTCTTCTTGTTCCCGGGACAGTTTCCGAACCGGTCGGGGAGCGGTATGGCAAGCGGTGCGATCTCGCCGCGGGATAACTACGCGTCGGTGAGAAGAGAGAACAGAGAGCTTAGGCTGGAGGTGGCTAGGATGAGGATGAGGCTGACTGATCTTGAGAAGGATCATGTTTCTATGAAGAGAGAGTTCGTGAAGCCGAGCAAGAGAACTCGTTATGGACTGTTTAGGAAGCTCTCTAGAGGGTTGAACAAGTTAAATGCAATCGTGTTGAGATTAAGAAGCAGCCAAAGTGTTGCTGGTAACGGTAAGCATACGGAGGAGAAGACAAATTCGGAGAGACGATTCTTGTTTCAAAAGAGAAGATGTCACTCTGTTTCTTGAATTTGTAGTTTTTGATGCTTTTGTTGGTATTCGTAAGTGTGTAAATTTGTAACTTATAGGTTGTATAGGGAGAGAGTTGATCATAGCTTTTTGATCTTGTTGAGATAAACTCTTCTGAATGATTTATTTTCAGTGAAGTGATTAGTAGTAAGTAACCTTCATTGAAGATGGATCAAGATTCAAGACCAAAATGAAAAATAAAAAAACATAAAGCTAATTTTGTGCTCTCTTACTTTTTCTCAACCCAATATTTTGCAAAATGGTACAAGTTGGTTCTTGAGCTGGATTCATATGTTTACTCTAAAACATACGCATCAGTGTATCAAATGAGAGGGAACTAATTGTACTCGTTGAACAAACAATGGATTGAGTAAGCTCACTTGGCTTATTAAATTACCCTAGTAAGAGTTTCAAATGAGTGAACATGTTTATTGCACACATAACATAATAAACCAAATATACAATGCCTTGGTCAAGTAGTAAATGATGGAATGGCATAAAGAGGGAACATGCGGTGCACCACAATACCGGTTGATTCAGCGACACCGGTTTTATCTTCTGTAGATTCAACCGGTAATATCCAATCAAACTGATGCACTAAGTTAGCCAAAATCAGCTCATTCAATACCGCAGCAAATGATACTGCTGGACAGATCCTTCTCCCTGCTCCAAATGGAATCAGCTCAAAATCTTGACCTCGGAAATCAACAGTCGAATCTAAATGCCTCTCCGGTCTAAACTCCTCCGCGTCTGGTCCCCACGTGGCAGCATCTCTTCCGATCGCCCAAACATTGATCATAACCTGTGTACCGGCAGGTATGTGGTAATCTCTTAATGTGACATCATGTGTTGATTCGTGAGGAGCAAGCAATGGAAGTGGAGGATGAAGCCTGAATGTCTCTTTGATCACAGCTTTTAAGTAGTTCATGTCTTGAATGTCTTCTTGTGATACACTCGATTTTTCCTTACAAATCGTACGGACTTCTTCTTGAAGTCTACTCAGACACTCTGGGTGATGTAGAAGCTCTGTCATTGCCCATTCCATAAGCGCGGAGGATGTGTCCGTACCAGCCACAAAAACATCCTGAAAAGTGAAAACCAAAACAAGAACTAGTGTATGTATTATTTACTACAACATCATGTAATCTGAATTCGTTTTTTATTTTTTTTTTCCACTTTACCAAGATGATTCCCTTTATGCTGATCCGGTCGATTTCTAGCCCGACGCTCCTCTCTCTTTGAATGGCGAGTAACACATCGACGAAATCAGTCCCATCTCCATCACCATCTACATGATCTTGTACAACTCTCTCCAAGAACTCATCAAAATCCTTTGCCGTCTTTTCCAGTTGAGCATCCAAACCGCAGATCCAATCGATCCACGAAAGCCACGGTACAAAACGACCGACACTAAACACTCCTACTAGCCTCGTGATACTGTCTATTAGCTCCTTAAAATCCATGTCACCGCCGTATTTCCGTCCTAGAGCAACTCTACATATCACATCGTTAGTTAAACTCGCCAAGAGCTTGCTTAGATTCACCGGCGAGGAACTTGATTTCCGGATCTTTTCCATCATCAGACTGATCTCTTCTTGTCTCACGTCTCGAAAGGACCGTACCATTTTGTTGCTGAGAAGATGGATGACACACACACTCTTTACTTGTCTCCAATACTCCCCATATGGAGCTGTGGCCACGTCACGCCCGTCGTAAAGAAGCTTTTGGAAGGCTTTAGTTCGTGGACGGCTCGCAAAAACTCGGTCGTGCGTCTTCAGAACGTCTCGAGCCGCGTCCGCGGAAGAGACTACAAGAACGGGGACACTGCCAAAGTGAAGGAGCATGAGAGGACCGTAACGGTGGCTGAGGGAGCATAATGATCGGTGAGGATAGTGGCCGAGTTGGTGAAGGTTTCCGATCAACGGAAGTCTCGGTGGTGACGCTAATGTACTGCCTTTCTTCCCCGTCGTCTGTTTTTTAAAGAAGAGAATGGTAATGGAGATTATTGAGCATAAGAGAAGTATCATCATCATCATCATTGCACCTCTGGATTCTATGAGTTTTTTAAGTTCTTTTCTTGTGAAGAGTTTGTTAGATTTTTGTGATATTTATATGCAAGCCAAGACTCTCCACGATAAGTAACTACTCTCCACGTAAATTTGTCCATTTTATACCTGTTCGTTCTCAAGGAGATATTTTTGTGGTTTTTTGCCTAGAACTGAAAATAATATATATAGTACAAGATCATTTATTCAATATTTATCCATTCTAGTACTAAAATATTATATTATCAAAAATTATTTATAAGGGTACAACCGTACAACATTATTCAAAATGATTACCCAATTATTCTGAAAACGGTATCCTATAATTCTAAAAGTGTTTTCCAAAACATTCTAAATTTGTCCATAATTACTACAATCGTAATCATGAGATTTATAAACTAATGAAGATCTAGAACGTTGGCAATGAAGATCTTTTTCTTGTGAAGAGTTTGTAAGATTTTTCTTGTGAGGAGTATCGGGCACATGCATCCGCTGTCTGTTTTCTTCAATTCGACTATCGGGCACATGCATCCGCTGTCTGTTTTCTTCAATTGTTTGGTACTATGAAAAAATTCATGCTCAATGTTTGGTTATTCTTGTCAAAACTCTTTTGCTTTCTGTGACTTCTTTTGGACTTATTTACCGGCTAAAGTTTGTCACGTTAATTAAGATATCTACCAACTAAATATGAATATAATTTCCTGTACACACATTTAATAATTAAATATGAATATAATTTTATGTTGATAAACTTGGTGAGAAACATTAAATGGAGATATTCTAACAATTCTGTTTAGTTGAGAGAAAGTAATCTGAAACAGGTATGTCGTCACGTGTAAAAATTTCGATTATACTGATTTTCTCTTACAAAAAAATGTCAATTTTTTATGATGAAGAACTACCGACACAAAGGTAGACGAAAGGTTTCTGGCCGAAGTTTTTTTAGTTCCGTCATCGTTGAGTTTTTTAATTCTCCATATTACTTTCGTTTATTTTATTTGATTTTTCTTTTTTTTTGGATTTTGGAAAAGTTTTCTTAATTTATTTTTGGTTAACTTTATCTATTGAATCAACGGTTCATTTTCAGCGGCAATTATGGATGTTTTGTTGCTAATGATAGCCACGTTAGATCTATAGTATGTGTTAGGTTTTTTCTCTCCTTTTTTATTAGTGTTTGGGTTATTTTTTATTGATTTGATTTACCGCCTTCCACAATATATATGTGTTTGATTAAGTTTTGCGTTTGGATGGTTCAGTTAGTCTCTTACACTAAAAATTATCAAGAAGATTTGTTTTTATCTCCTTAGTACTAATCCAATTTGTTTTCTGTCGACAAAATTGGTGACATCATCTTTAGATAATTTTAAATCACCTAAATAGAGGTTCATCATACTAATTTAAAAAAACATATTCCACAATTCCAATTACTGAAGTCTACTTATTACCCAATGAGAACAAAAATATTTAGAAATTTATTTTATTTATTTTTCAATTTTTTTTAAAAAAGCTTTGTTTAAGTTTATAAAAAAAAGTTATAATCATAATAGCTTTTTGTTGCTATTTTCGTCATTTTTGTAGAATTGATGCAAATACGAAAATATCTGGTGACATATACGCTTGAGATTTTTCTTTTGTCAGAAAAAGAGAGAAAAATGCTCGGATTCTTTCAGGCACTTCATCTAAACGACACGAGATTTTAAACAGTCATTAATAATCAACATGTATATTTTTACAAGTCCAAGTTAATTGAATGTCAAATTAAAAAAGTTGAGCATATCTGATATAAAAACATAAGTTCTTCTAGTTTCCGTAAGAGATACACCCTGAATTCGAGAGAGAGAGCAAAAATAAGTGATTAAAATAAATAACTAAAATCACATGAAAACAACTTAGGGAATATCACATGAAAATATATACATATACATTCTTTTATTGAAATCAAGTATATTTACAAAACAAAAAAAAACTTAGGGGAGAACAATAAATAAAACCAGATCTATGCATGGCGCGAAAAAGAAGCAACGACCCACACATTATACAAAGCAATTAATATATATATATATAATGCCCTTAAGTCAAGTAGGAGATGATGCAATGGCGTAAAGAGGGAACATGCGGTGAATCGCAAGACCCGTTGATTCAGCGACACCGGTCTGATCTTCTGTAGATTTAACCGGGAATCTCCAATCAAACCCATGCATTAGGTTAGCCAAAACCAGCTCATTCAACACCACAGCGAATGATATCCCTGGGCACATCCTTCTCCCTGCTCCAAACGGAATCAGCTCAAAATCCTGACCCCTGAAATCAGCAGGCGTGTCCAAATGCCTCTCCGGTTTAAACTCGTCAGCGTCTGGTCCCCACGTGGCAACCTCTCTCCCGATCGCCCAAACATTGATCATAACCTGCGTACCGGCCGGTACGTGGTAATCTCCTAATTTGACATCTTCTGTTGATTCGTGAGGAACCATCAATGGAACTGGAGGATGAAGCCTGAGTGTCTCTTTGATCACAGCTCTTAAGTAGCCCATTGCTTGAATGTCGTCTTCTAATACAATTGATCTGCCCTTACAAACTGTACGGACTTCTTCTTGAAGTCTTTTCAGAAACTTTGGGTGACGTAGAAGCTCTGTCATTTCCCATTCCATAAGTGCGGACGTTGTGTCCGTACCACCCACAAAAGCATCCTGAAAAGTGAAAACCAAAACAAGACACATGCAAATATATGTTCACTAAGGTTATGTACTTATGTACTAAAACGTCATTAAATCTCAATTTGATGATTTTTTTATTTTCTTTTCTCATTTACCAAGATGATTGCCTTTATGCTGAGTCGGTCGATTTCAAAACCAACGCTCTTATTTCTCTGAATAGCGAGCAATATATCCACAAAATCATTCCTATCTCCATAACCATCTACATGATCTTGCACAACTCTCTCCAAGAACTCATCAAATTCATTTTTCGTCTTTTCTACTTCAGCATCCAAACCTCGGATCCAGTCAATCCACGCAAGCAACGGGACATAAGTCCCGACACTAAACACGCCCAATAGCCTTATGAACCTCTCCAATAACTCCTTAAAATCAGTTTCCCCGCCGTATTTCTTTCCCAGCGCAACTCTAGAAACCACATCGTTGGTTAAACTCGCCAAGATCTCGCTTAGATTCACCGGCAAAGAACTTGATTTCCTGATTTTTTCCATCATTAGACTGATCTCTTCTTCTCTCACGTTTCCAAAGGAACGTACCATTTTGTTTCTTAGGAGATGGAGGACACACACACTCTTCATTTGTCTCCAATACTCTCCATAAGGAGCTGAGGCCACGTCACGCCTGTCATAAAGAAGCTTTTCGAAGATTTTAGACCGTGGACGGCTCGCAAAAATTCTGTCGTGCGTCTTTAAAACATCTCGAGCTGCATCTGCCGAAGAGACTACAAGAACGGGGACACTGCCAAAGTGAAGGAGCATGAGAGGACCATAACGGTGGTTGAGAGAGCATAGTGATCGGTGAGGATGGTGGCCGAGCTGATGAAGGTTTCCGATCAACGCAAGTCCCGGTGGTGATGGGATTGTGTTGAGTTTCTTCCCTGTCGTCTGATTTTTGAGGAAGAGAATGGCAATGAAAAGTATCAAGCACAAGAGGAGTATCATCATCATCATCATTGCACCTCTGGATTCTTTGAGTTTTTCAAGTTCTTTTCTTGTGAAGATTTTTGTGATCTTTTGGACTGATATAAATATGCAAGCCAAGTCTCTCCACGGTAAGTAACTACTGTCCACGTAATTTTGTCCATTTTATATACCTGTTCGTTCTCAAGGAGATATTTTGTCGTTTTTTGCCTAGAACTGAAATATAATATATATATATATATATATATATAGTAGTACAAGATCATTTACTCAACATTTACCCATTCTAGTACTGAAATATTATATTATCAAAAATTATTTATAAGGGTACAACATTATTCAAAATGATCCAAAATTTTGAACAAATTATCCAATTATTCTGAAAACAGTATCCTATAGTTCTAAAAGTGTTTTCCAAAACATTCTAAAATTGTCCAGGAAAATTTGTCCATAATATTACAATCGTTATCATGAGATTTATAAACTAATGAAGATCTAGAACGTTGGCATTGCCACCATTAATGTTACTATATAGGGAACATGAAGAGATGACCCAAATGCAAATATATCTATGCATACAACGGAACAAAGGGATAATTGGATAAAATTGTGCATCCCCATGATGAAATTACTTCATGTTTGGTTCAAATAAAGTCAATGGTGATGCAAGCATGAAGTCATCATGATGGGGGTTATTACATATTGTTTGTTGAAGTACATGGGCTTTTTTTTTTGTAAAAAAAGAATTAAGAAACAATCGTTTTATATTTGTTTCTTAGGCTCATTATACATTACTAAATGAGTATCCGCGCGATGCGTGGATATTTTTTCATAAAATAATTTATTAAAAAGTATAGTTACAATTTATTTTATCGTATATTTAAATTTTTTTTAAAGGATATTGTGTATTTGAATATACATACAATACATATTTACATATTATGTGGATATTAACTATATATGTGATCAATGGTATATTGATAAGAAAATGTAAAATATATTTTACTTTGTATATATAGAATATATTAAATGGATATAATACAAATCAGAGATGTACTATATAACAAAAATTAATTAGAGAAACTCTTCAAGCACAACATAGATAAAAACAACTCTTTTTAACAGGTCATATTTGTTCACGGCGTACATTTACACAATAGCAATGCCATGGTTTTATATTTTTATGAGCTTAAATAATTGAATTATAATTCTAATTTATACAGCTGCGTTAAATATTTTAAAATTATCAATAAATCAAGTTTGAATAAAATAAATTATCAAATAATTATTAGTTTATAAAAAAATTATTTTAAAGTTTATTATAATATTATATAAATTTTTCTTCTAACTTTTTAAGGTTCAAGATATCAAATAATTGTTATTTTTATATTTATATAATTATTTTTATAATAATATCTTATAATATTAAATAAAAATAAAAAAACACTCTTAAATATAAAAAATAAATTTTGTTAATAATTTTTAAAAACTACCACAAAATAGATATTCAATAAATATTTTTGGATATTATGTATATATTGTTATTAAAATATATTATATAATTCTTTATATTTAATACATTAAATTTATGCATTATCTGTATTTTACATAATTTGTATCATTAAATTTTTAAAAATGACACATGTCATTTCTACAATAAACCAAAATGATGAGGTGGCACTCATATGGAGAGAGTTGGCCATCTTTTATAGTATAGATACATCACTCTAATGATATATGTATCTAAATATGGTAAGCACATTACTTTTTCAATCCTGATCCAACAGTTGGCTTAATTGGTGACCCATCTAGACATTAATAAGACTCTCGTAGACTCGTAGTCAATAGTCTCATAGATCATACCAACCATATTCTTTGATCGATATTGATAAGTGACAACATTGTATTTGAGTTTACCAATTGAAGGGATATGGTGTGCTAACCCCAAAAAACCATATGCTCTTTTCCACCTATCTTCACCATACTCTTAACCATATGCTTTATTTCTCCTTTTGAAATTCTACATACTCTTGTAAATTTCAAAGTCATATTTATGATTATTTACTTTTTTTTTTTTTGTAGATTCAGCTGAAAGGGGACATATAAACAATCTCAATATCAAAAGTAATACTTGAATTACAAAACCTGATCATTTTCTTCTTCACCAATGAACGAATATAAATTTATCTATACAATAGTTTCCAATAAGCCTGAATATTTAGTTAGGTTTCCAAATTTGAGGTAGTTAGTTAATCCTCAAATTTGTTAGAATTTAGATTCCAGTAGAAAGGAACATAGAGGCACTAATATACATCTAAAAAACAATATGATGATGAAACAAAGTTAACCTTATGTCTACTAAGAGAGTGGGAAAAGTACATTTCCACATGATATATATCTTATTTATTAACAACTTAGCTATTTAAGTAGACCAAGAAGAACTGGTGAACATGTGCAGGATTTCGCACATCTCTATTCAGGACATGGCCTTGTCTAGAAACCTAAGCGTCTTCAACGTAAAGCTCTCTACCTTCTTCCTTTTTGAACCAACGAAGCTGACAACTGCTGAAAAAAATGGAAAGAAGCCATCTGTAGAGGGAGAACTTAGCAGGTATATGATATGAACTCTCCTTGATCCTAGGAAGCCCACATGGTTTCTCCGTTTAGGCGATCTGCAGTTTGTACATTGTATCAAGGTTTCTATGTTCTTATATTCTATTTCAAAAGGTTAAGTTATGTTTTTTTAGCTCCGGTTTCTACTGTTTTGTAGATGTATGGAAAATGCAATCGAGCTATATATAGAGGTCTAGAAGAGAGTGTCATTATGTTTTAGGATCCTAATGACTTAATATTGACCTAAAGATCAGCTCATCGACGACTTATCTCCTTTGCGATTGTCGCAACCAATAAACTCAAAGGTCTTCTTCACATTATCAGAATGTTAAGGGTTAAGTTTATTTTTATCACTTTCATTTATACATCTCTCTTTCAGTTATTGGTGGTGTTGCTGATCATTTGGCAAATCGACTTTTAATTTGTTTTTGAATTCTCTTTCCGTTGTTAGAGACTAAGGTTATATAGAAAACACCTTGAATTTTGTAAGAGAAAAAAACATCTCGAAGTTGACCGAGTATATTTAAAATCACATGACAATAAATGATAATTATAGGCAAGAAAATAAAATAAAAGCCAGATCTATGGCGCGAAAAAAGCAACGACCCACACGCCACACCTCTGCCACGTGGCCTTGTCCAGTGGATCTGAGCGCGTACAACACTCCACACCATTATTATCATCAGTAGCTGGAAAACAAACAAGCTTAACGTTTCTTTAATGGCAGAAAGAAGTCAATTAATAATAATACTTGAAAAAACAAAATAATACTCAATTACAATAACGATAAAATAATTAAAAACAGCTTTTAAATTTCTTACCGAAGACGAAAACGCTCTCTTTAGAAAAAAAAAAAAAAAAAAAAAAACGCGCTCTTTTTCCTTTGACTAAGTTCTGCCTTCTCTCCAAGAAATCCTCTGTTTCTGACTCGCAAGAATGCCACAAGACGAGGAAGAATTCGTAGAGATTGATCCCACTGGTCGCTATGGCAGAGTCTGTTCTTCTTTATTTGATATTCCTTTCTAACCATTAATCTTCCGATTCTAATCTTTTTTTGGCTTACAGTATAATGAAGTTCTAGGGAAAGGAGCTTTCAAACGAGTGTATCCTTTTTTCCATAGATCTCTGTTTCTCTGTTATTACATGAAAGCTCTCTGTTTTCTGCAAAAAACAGAGTCACGAAAAAGGTTTTCTTTTGATCAGAGAAATTCTCCAGATACAGAGCATTTGATCAGCTCGAAGGAATCGAAGTGGCTTGGAACCAAGTTAAGCTAGATGATAAACTCTGTAGCTCAGAAGATTTAGAGCGTCTTTATTCTGAGGTTCACTTACTCAAAACCCTTAAACACAAAAGCATCATCAAATTCTACACTTCTTGGATCGATCACCAACACATGACCATCAATCTCATCACCGAAGTCTTCACTTCCGGAAATCTCAGACAGTCAGATTCTCCTTTCTCTAATCTCAATATTTTTTTTTTTTATGTTTGATTATGTTCTGATGTGGATCTACTCGGATTCTTGAGCTTTAAGGTACCGGAAGAAGCACAGGCGTGTTGATCTAAGGGCATTGAAGAAATGGTCAAGGCAGATTTTAGAAGGGCTTGTTTATCTTCATAGCCATGATCCTCCTGTTATCCATAGAGATCTAAAATGTGATAACATTTTAATCAATGGGAACCAAGGTGAGGTTAAAATCGGAGATCTAGGTCTTGCCGCGATTCTGCACCGAGCTCACTCAGCTCATAGCGTCATCGGTGAGTTCTTTAAGCTTGTTCATTATCAAAATTCAAACTTCTCTTATCTGAAACTGTAATGTGTGTTTGGAATTGTTAAGGCACACCTGAGTTTATGGCACCGGAACTCTATGAAGAAGACTATAATGTACTTGTCGATATATATGCATTTGGAATGTGTTTGCTTGAGCTTGTAACTTTCGAGTACCCGTATGTCGAATGCACCAATGCTGCTCAGATTTACAAGAAAGTTACATCGGTAAGTGATGTTTTTTTTCTCCATCTCAAATCGAATCAAGAATATGACTTATTTGTACATTTAGTCGGTCCATTTTAATCGATGCTTTATGCTTATTAGGGAATCAAACCGGCCTCACTTGCGAAAGTGACTGATGTGCAAGTGAGAACGTTCATAGAGAAGTGTATCGCAAAGGTCTCAGATCGCTTGTCGGCCAAGGAACTGCTTGATGATCCTTTTCTGAAATGCTACAAGGAAAATACCGAAACTAGCTCTCATAAAGGTAACCGTATTCTTCGTAATGTATTTCATCAATAGTAGTAGTAGTATATAAAATTATATCATATTATTGCGACTATTATATACCTATGACTTCTATTTATTTTCCATTTGAGATTTCTAACACGAAATTTATGTTTAAACGATACAGAAAATGGACGTAGTGGAAGAGAAATCGAAGACAAACTCTCAGATTCTGCGTTAGGTTTATTAACCGTAAAAGGCCAACGTAAAGACCTCAACACAATCTTCCTAAAACTACGTATCACCGATTCCACAGGTTTCATTTTTTTTTCTTTTTCGAATTAGATGAATAAAGAAAACCCTGAAATCTTCATATTTATCATAATTGAATCGTGATTTTAAATGATAATATAACATTTTGTATACAGGTCAAGTACGTAACATTCACTTCCCATTTAACATAGAGACAGACACATCTTTCTCAGTGGCCATCGAAATGGTGGAGGAATTAGACCTAACAGATGATCAAGACATCTCAACGATCGCCAAAATGATCGACGCAGAGATACATTCACACATTCCAGATTGGGTTCCTTCTCGTCTCATTGGAGATGATTATTCAGCAATACACAAATGTTTGTCTTCTGCTGAAACGCTGCGTTTAGATAGATTTCCTTCAGGGAGAAAATTCTGGTCCTCTCCTAAAGCTGAAGCTGCTGGAGATTCACGTTCACCGTTCTCACAACGTACTACTTCTAAGCTTTCGTCATCACGAGGACCGATCAATGATCAAGAAGTTGGGATTATAGTTGAGAAACTTGAGTCTTTGTTGATGAAACAGAGAGAGGAGATTGAAGAGCTTCAGAGAGATCAAGAACGTATCGTTTCTGAATTTTTGAAGGAGTTTCCTCCTGAGATCTGTGAAGAGGCTTTGGTGAGATTGCAAGTCAGAGATTCCGACAACTTACTGTGTTAAATTCCGTTTGTTACAGACTTATACAGTACATGTATCTTCAAGATTTAATTGGTCTGTAATATTATGTTGTTATAAAATGTTGTTAAGGTTTAAGGTGTTTTAAAATCTAAACACTTTTCAGTGGAGGTGTTTCAACATTCGTTTAAAAAAAAATTATCTAACACATTTTGTGAAATTTATTTTTACATCATTATTATCGATCATAAAGATAACAAAAAAACATTTTTGAGATTTGATATTTATTTCTTAAAATAGGTTAACGTTGATAATTTATTTCTAAAACTATAGTAATCAAACAACTGTATTCTTGTTGGTAAAGCAACTCATGGAGTGAAAGTAAATCAATACAACAATAACACTAAAGTCTCTCCATAAAATGATATATCAGCTTTTTCAAGCTTTTTAAAGTTGACACCTCAGCAAAAAAAAACTTCAATGAAAACATTTTATTAATACACATCATCAACTAACTTTTATTATTTTTAACTTAAACCCACTAAAACCCCAAATATTTTTCTTTGTTAATTTTTATTTTATTTTTTTTATCAAATCCAAGCCCAAATAATAAATAACAGCAAATAAAAAAATTTATTTTATTTTTTACCATCCCCAAATCTAAATAATAAATAACAACAAAAAAATTAAATCTTTGTTTTATATTTTTGCCAAACCGAAACTCAAATAATAAATAACAGCAAATTTTTTTTTTTAATTTCTAACTATCTGTTTGCTTTATAGAGACATATATGGCTGAAAAAAGTGTAGATTCATTATCAACTATAGTTTCATAACAACAACGCAAAAAGCGTTATGTTATAAGAAACTCAAATATCAGCAAAAATTTGAACCAATAAAAACATAACAATAATACATATCATTAACACATTAATAAAATCAGTTTACTATTTTGCTGACCCATTAAAAAGCCCAAAGTTTACAAAAAAATTAAAGTCGAAAACAAATGAGAAGAAACTCAGACCACCACAACTTGGAGATTCGCATTTATGGTGGTTATCGATAACAAATTTTCTTGGGTTTGGCGGGAATACTAAATTTCTTAGTTTCGGTAGAAAAATATGATTTTCAGTTTTGGTAGGAAAACATAATTTCTCGGTTCTGGCGAAAAAAATGAATTGTCGGGTTTGGCAAAAAAATGTGAATTTTTGGTTTTGATGATAAAAAAAAATTTGATTTTGACGCGAAAATAAAATATCTTAGTTTTGACGAGAAAATGCGACGAAAAATACAATTTCTCGGCTTTTGATGGATAATGTGATTTCTTGATTTTTGCAGGAAAATGTGATTTCTTAGTTTTCATGAGAAATTGAAATTTGACAATTTTGGCGGAAAATGCAATTTCTCAGTTTGATGGGAAAACAATTTTTTTTTGATTTTGGCGGGAATAAATTTTTTTCGGTTTTGATAGGAAATGAAAATTTTCAGTTTTTGACATATAATGTGATTTATTAATTTTCGCGAGAAAATGCAATTTTTTAGTTTTCGCGGGAAACATAATTTCTCAGGAAATAATGCAAATTTTGGTTTTCGCGGGAAATTGTGGTTTATCGGTTTTGGTAGGAAGGCGTGATTCTTGGTTTGACGAGAAAAATAATTTTTTTTGCGGGAATAGACGATTTCTCAATTTTTGCGTGAAAACACATGTTCTCGAGGGAAAATGTGATTTTTTTGTTTTTGCGGAAAAATACAATTTTTTTTTGTAGGAAAATGAAATTTCAGGTTTGACGAAAAAATGATTTTTTTTTTGTTTTGACAGGAATAAGTAATTTCTCAGTTTCGTGGGAAAACGTAATCTTTTTGTTTTATCGAAAAATACAATTTATTAGTTTTTGTAAAAAAATAAAAAAATTTTGTGCTAAATTTTCAAGTTACAATATGTTTATAATAACCAAAATTGAATTATTTAACTTCAACTAAATTAATATTTTAATAATTCAAACAGAACTTTCTATTTAGTTCTAAAGCAATAGCAATGGTTTTGATATGAATGTTATTGATTATAGTTTGATAGTTTTAGAAACATATGTTTATAACAAATATTTGATAAATAAATAAATTTTGTAATTTAAAATAATTATATTAATTAATAATTGTTTTTCTTAAATTGTAATGTGCTTTATACAATTTCAAAAGAGGATTAAGTAGCAACTTAGTAGAAAAAATAAATTACATTTGCCATTAGTATGAAGGTACTTATCAATGTATTGTTTTATTCTTACATATACATTATAGATAGTTAGCTAAACAATTTTAATAGTAGATTATAATTTTGAAAAATAAAAAAAATTAAGGATATAGAATATTTATTCAGATTTAAAACATATAAATACATAACTTAAGCTAAATTAAAATATAATATTCATTTACATTATAAAAATAATTTTATTATATTAAAAATATATATAATTTATAAAAATATCTGCAGCGTAATACCTAGTGGTTTCTAAAAGCCCAAGACCGAATAAGACCAACTTTAAAATATCTAAAGATAAAACGCAGCGTTTAGGAGGCTCTTAAGTCTTAAACCCCCAATTTTCAGGAAATTGCATTTTCTGCTTAAACCCTATTGTCGTCTCGTCACTGTATCTTCGTTTCCCTCTTTCTTCGACCAGACAAACACACAGTTAGCAGCATCAGCAGCAGCCATGTACAGATCAAAGGCAGTCATGGCTTCTCTACGAATCGCTTACTCTAAGATCTCGACTCGATCGTATCTAAGCCGAGCTCAGGTGGGTTTTTCCTCAAACTCGTCTCCGCCTTTCGATTCTCTCGCAATCCCTAGTCGATTTGCGTGGCAATTCCGCTCCTTTTCTTCAAAACCAGAGTCTATGCTTCAATTAGTACTGGAAAACGATTGGTCCAGGGAAGTAGAGGAAGGATTGAAGAAAGCAAATATGCCTTTAACCCACGAGACTGCAATCTACGTTCTTCGGAAATTAGATAAGCACCCAGAGAAAGCTTATTGCTTTTTCGATTGGGTATTCAGAGAATCAGGTCTTAGGCCAAGCTCTCCACTTTACAGCACGATGCTGAGGATTCTAGTGCAGCAGAGGTCCATGAAGCGGTTTTGGATGACTCTGACGGATATGAAACAAGGAGGGTTTTATATGGATGAGGAAACATATACGTCCATCTACAGTTTGCTTAATAAGGAGGACTCGAAAGCGGACGCTACTGCTTTGTCTCATTTCCATGAAAGAATGGTCAGGGAGAACGCAATGTCTCTCTTTACGGATCATGTTTCTGCTCTTGTTTCGAGAGTGGACTGGAGCTGTGAGGTTGAGAGGGAGTTGCAGGAGATGAAGCTCGATTTTTCGGATAATTTCGTCATCAGGGTGATGAAGGAGCTGAGAGATCATCCTTTGAAAGCTTTGGCATATTTCCACTGGGTCGGTGGTAGGTTTAAGCACAGTACCGTTACTTATAACGCAGTCTTGAGGGTATTGGCAAGGCCTAACTCGGTTTCGGAGTTTTGGAGTGTTGTTGATGAGATGAAGGACGCAGGGCACGAGGTGGATCTCGACACTTACATAAAGGTTTCAAGACAGTTTCAGAAATCTAGAATGATGGTCGAGGCGGTGAAGCTTTACGAGTTTATGATGGATGGTCAGTATAAGCCATCTGTTCAAGATTGTAGTCTTCTGTTGAGGTCCTTATCTGCTGGTCCTAGCCCGGATTTGGATTTGGTGTTTCGGGTTTCGAGGAAATATGAATCGACTGGGAAGTCTCTCTCAAAGGCTGTTTATGATGGGATCCACAGGTCTTTAACCAGTGTAGGGAGGTTTGACGAAGCCGAGGAGATCGTGAAGGCTATGAGAGATTCGGGTTATGAGCCGGATAACATCACATACAGCCAACTGGTGTTTGGTCTTTGCAAAGCCAAGAGATTAGAAGAAGCGCGTGGTGTCCTAGATCAAATGGAAGCGCAGGGATGCATCCCCGATATAAAAACTTGGACCATTCTGATCCGAGGGCACTGCAAAAACGGTGAGGCTGATAAAGCCTTTGCGTGTTTCGCGAACATGTTAGAGAAAGGGTTTGATATCGACTCTGATCTGCTTGATGTCTTGGTAGATGGGTTTCTTGTCCAAAACAGAATCGAGGGGGCGTGCAAGTTCCTCACGGAGATGGTGAGAAACGCCAATGTGAAGCCGTGGCAAAGCACTTACAAGGGTGTTATAGATAAGCTGCTAGAGATCAAGAAGGGAGAAGAGGCGCTAGATCTTCTTCAGATGATGAAGAAGCAAAACTACCCTGCGTATGCAGAGCCGTTTGATGGTTACCTCGCAAAGTTTAGCACTTTGGAAGACGCTAAGAAGTTCTTGGATGTGCTTAGCTCAAAGGATTCTCCTTCCTTTGCAGCTTATTTTCATGTCATCGAAGCTTTCTACCGAGAAGGAAGACTCTCTGATGCGAAAGATCTTGTCTTCGTATGTCCCCATCACTTTAAAACGCACCCTAAAATCACTGAACTCTTCGGCGCAGCTTGAGGCAAATCCTCGAATTGTTAACACTCTGTTCTCGTATTATGTTCATTGCTCTCTTCTACCGGTTGCACTCGCCGCATGGTTATGAAGATATCGTTTATAGGTAAGTTGATCATGTAGGATGTGTTGATGGAATTGAAGGATGTTGTGGGATAGTCTCAAACTGTTGAGCTCTCTGTCTCTTTTTTTTTGTTTTCTTTCGCTGAAAGTAAATTATGATTTTCATTCAGGGAATGCATAATTTTGATTTGGTAGATTAGGACCAAATATGTTAATTTATAAGTAGAATTTCAGGAGATCTGGTAAGTACTATTAGGGGTGAGCATTTCGGTTTATTTATAGTTTCGGTTCGGTTCAGTTCGGTTAGTTTGATTATACTAAAATTCTAATTGAATTCAACCAAAATTAATTCGGTTTGACTTTGATTCGATTCGGTTTGTTTTGTTTAGTTTGGTTAATACTTAATAGTTTGCAAAACAAAACTTTGCGTAAATACTAAACATAACGTTAAAATCAAAATAAAAATATAAACTATTTTAAACAACAAAATTCGTAAAACTAAAAAAAAACTCCAATTCAAAATCATATTCAACTAAAAAGAAAACCAAAACACCTAATTTCATTATATCGTAGTATCTATCTTGTTTCTACAACCTAAAAAATCTGCAACAAATTAATATCAATACAAATTTAAACAAAAACAAAATTAAAAATTTAATAATTAATAATTAAGAAAACATATTGGTTTTTAGTTCGGTTTGGTTTAAAACCAAACAGAACCATTCGGGTTAATAGAAATTCCAACTAAAATGTTTTGATATAAACTTTGGTTCGATTTGATTCGGTTCGGGTTCCGTTGATTTGGATTAATTCACTTCGGTGGATTTTTTTTCCCACCTCTATGTACTATAGAGCAAATGAAGCTAAGCTCTTTCTTTTTATCTTTTTGAGGATCAGAGATAAAGTTTTTGGTAGCAACTAAGCTTTATAGATCATAGAGAACAATTTTGTAAATGATTTCTGTATTTTAATCCTGGTGTTTCTAAGTTGCAGATTATGTATCTTGATTTTGAATAGAAATGCGTTCAGATACTCTTGCAGTGCTTAGATTTTTCCTCTCTTTTTTTTTTCAAATACAAAAAAAGAAAGTGAATTTTAGACGACAGGAAAAGTCATAAAACTCTTATCCGAATATTCAACCTCCCGAAACTGTCTGTTTTGGCCATGTGAGGAGGTTTTGTTGCAGAAATATGATAAGCTTACGTGTTTCTTCCTCACACATGGGACTGTCTGATTTAACAACTGAAACAAGAAAGCTCACGAAGAGAATATGTCACTTTATTTATCAGCCAAGAGTTTTTAGTCTCAGACATTTTTTGATCTTTGTTTGTTTTTGAATACATCAACTTCACCTTGTCTGCCGTATCTTTCTGCGGTTGCATTTACACATTGCAAATACATGTTATGAAATTTTTTAAATGTTTTCGGTTTACAAAATGTGATTTGTTTTTCCCTTTTGTTTATGTTAACGCAAAGCACAAAAACTGTGTTTCAAACAATCAAAATCTCAATAATCAGTCGGATAACAAAATTATGTCCTTAATTGTGGAATGATTTAGTAGTGGTTATGTGGCCGGATCAAGTTTGAACTCTGAAAAAAAAAATTGGGTTTATTTTGAGTAAATCTATATAACAACCGGACCTGATTGAACCGGTTTTTAAGTCCATTTTCTATAGGAGAGAATGAAGATTCTGGAAAAAAAAAGTGAAGATTTGGAAAATGATGCAAAGGAATTAAGGAAATTACTTTTGACATGGAACTTGATGCTTGGGTTTTTCTGGTGCGCATCTAATCTTGTATCTATGTTACTATGTTATAGCGACTCTGATGCTGACGTTTAACCAGATTATTCGCACCAAAGTTAGATTTGTGTCAACTGTCCAACTTTGGCCTTTCATTTTCTATTCTTCCAATACTTTTACCTGAAAAGGTTAGAAGATTGATTAGCTTAATGACACAGTGACATGATTAAGACATTTCTCTGTTAATTAGATCTAACGATGTCGAGTGAATCGAATTCGTTAAGAAATGGTCCAATCAATACTTTTTACATATATTATCAAGCAAATATTTCTTGTTCGCTTTCCTCCAAAAAAAACATGTCTCCCTCTATTTAATGGTCATTGACTCATAGTATTAAGCAGTCAAACAAGAAAGCTTATGTTTCTTAACCATTAATTAATTTACTTATGAAAAATATCAATTGTGTTTGATCTCTTACATCTTCGATTGCCACCTTAGCTTTGCTTAGTCTTAATATTATTTGCGTTCTTACTTCATAATCAAGTCTTTTCACAGTAAATTGGTATATTTAATAATTTTTTGCCTTTTGATCTTTTCGACTTAGTTAGTATTCCATGCTCGAACTTGTTTCTAACTTAGTTTTAAATGCGTTTTCTCATAACTTTGGTCAAGTAGTTTGACAAATAACATTTTATTTGTTTTGGTCATTTGGACTCGAATTAAAAACCGAAATTCGCATATATAAAACTCCAAACTTCGCGGTCAAAAAAAAAAAAACTCCAAACTCCAACACTCTTATACTAAAAGGTTTCCTTTTTTTTATAAGGGTTCTCTTTTTATAACGGCTTGTTTTGTTTATATGTTCTGCATGGCATATATTCCTTATTTTACGGTTATCGCCTTCGAGTAAAGTAGAATTGAATTGTTAACAAAAAATATTCATCTTACACTCTTACGCCATTCTGATTAGATATGGATTGAATACGACAGATATCATATTTTACAAAAAAAAACAAAAAGCTTATAATAAACAAAGAACAAAAAAACGAAAAACCTCTGCGGAAGAAATAAAAACCTCAGCGTCATACACATACACATACACGTGTGAGGCAACGTATCCACTGTTCCACTAGACGCACACGTGTACTCACGCCTAACATCGACACGTTTCACGTCTGGAACGGTCGCAACGTACCACGTATTGAAAAAAACTGACGTTTTGTACGTTTCCCACATTTCTTAATAACAAAGATAACGGAAGATAAACGGCCGGGGAACAAAATTCCGTCTTCACCTCCGTTTCAATTTCCACCGATCATGTTTAATTTCCCATCACAAAAAAACACATCATCGACCTTATTAAAACCCTAATTTTTTTTTTCTTTTTCTTTTCATAGCTATCTAAAGCATTTCGATTATGACCGTCAACGTCAATGCCAGATGAGCTTGGAGTCTCTGTTGTGCACACGGCATTTACAGCAACGAGAATATTCCTCAGCTCGCTTACGGAATATTCTACTGGGAAGATTCTCCGTCGGAGCCACACAATAACGTGGCTGTAGAAACCTCATGTACGCCGGAGATTTCGGCGGAGAAGGAGAAGCCACGACGGAGAAAGGAGACTTCGGTGACAGATCGCCGCCGCTCGATCGTGGCGACATCTGCTTAGGAGGCGACAAAATTGCTCGGATCTTGCCTCCGTGGACGCGATCGTATTCCTCCACGATGTTCGCGAGATCCTCGTCTGATTTGACGGAGATCAGTGTCTCGAGATCTCCGTCTGGTAATTGGCACTTCAAATCAACGGAGTACCCACAGAATTCCTCCAATTTCACCATTAGCTCTGAGTAACAGAACGAAAATAGAAATCAAACTCACTTTCTTCGGAGAAATTGAAAATTTGAAATTCGGATTTGGGGAGAATTTGAACGGACCTGTGAAAGAGATGGAATGGCTTACGGAGAGCACCCTGGTGAAACCGCCGACGTAACGGAGCTTCCCATCGATTGAACGGGGAAGTATTCTGCCGCCGTAACTACAGAGGAACTTGAGACTGCTTCCGCCGTTCTTCGTTGCCTGATTCTCAGCCATGGCCACCATTGTTTCTGTTTTTCGGAAAGAAATTTCTGGAATTTTGAAGTGTTTTGAGTATCTTGCTTTTCTGAGTATTTCCAGTGGGTTTTTCGGTTTCTTCGGCTTAAACCGAGGAAAATGGAGGTGGGAAGGAACGTATTTATAACTAGTAAATGAGTGTTATAGTGGGACCCAACATTGTGTATGAAATTGAAATATTCATCGAATAATTAAAACATGACGGGGTACAATTCAGTTTTGTGTATTATGATGATCGATCACCCAATGTAATTTATTCTCAATTAGTTTTTTATGTTTTCATTGAACGTTGTTTTTAATCATGATAAATCGACTGTTTAAGTTCCGATTGTTAGAGCATCTCCACCTCTATATTAAATATGAATTCAAACTTTATTCGAAATAAAATGTGTTTTAATTCTATTTCATTTTCAATTGTATAATAGTATAATACTATTTTATATTTCAAATATAGAACATCTCTGAGTATCTTCAACTATATATCAATTATAGTTTTAAATTTCATTTTGGAATAAAATATATTTCAATTCCATTTTATTTTCAATTGCATTATAATATATAATACTATTTTTTATTTTAAATATGAAATTTGAATTTATTTTCAATTAATTTTTTTTATTTATTTATAAACTAGTCCTTCAAATTATAAATTTTAATTTTAAAAAAAAATAAATAATTATTTTGATGATGATTTTTTTTCTTAACTTTAAATTATTATATTAGAAAATAACGGAATACATTTTTTAAATTATCTAAGTAGGAGAATTATTAGTTGCAGCATAAGAAGATCTATAAGATGTTCTATATCTAACTAATTTATGGGCTATTTTGTTACAGTCTTTTTTAACATGGTTTTGAAAATATTTCGAAATTTAAGCAGCCATGATTTGATTGTTTCCACCAAATTATGCATTGATATATCTTTGGCCGCAGTACAAATCAGATTTATAAGTATCTGACAATCGCCTTCAAAACATTTATCATCATATCCCATGTTCTATATATTTTGAATAGCACATAATAAAGATGTGCCTTCTGTGTCCAAGCTTGTTGCGGTTACACCAATGTTTGCCGAACCCCAATATTTGCAGAATCCATTCATATTCCGGATGATTCATCCATTTGTAGCCACTTTTGTTTGGGAATTATAAGCGGCATCGTAATTGTATTTGAGTAGGCTCATCAGTGGGGAATTCCATTTCGCCACTGTTTGAGAAGTGGTTATTGTATTTGGTATCATTGTATCTAGCTTGATCCATTCAGAAACATCTGCAAGGTCTGGTTGACATCCCTTGTTATTTTAATGGTATACTTTTTGAAAATTAAATTGTTACGTGATTTCCAAATTCTCCACATTAGCCAAAAGGGAAGAAGTTTTTCAGTAGTAGATATATTGTTGTTTGATTGAGCGTCAAGTAGTAATCGTATAAGAGCTTCAGTGTCTTGTGTAGGGAAGTTTAGAGGGTCGTAAATTGGTGTTTGTGCTTGTCTCCATGTATTAGCAGAAATGGGACAGGTGAAGAACATGATATGTATCATTTCAGGCTCCATACCACATCGTGGACATGTATCGTCGATGGCAATTCCCCTGCTCTGAAGGCGAGTAGTAGTCGGAATTGCTTTTGAAAGAATCCTCCAAAAAAATGTTTGAGTTTAGACATAATTTTGAGATTCCATATGCAATGTTTTAAAATCGGGTCCCCGTATGGGATGTCAGGTTGGGTAGACATTTGAATACCCATATGTCGTAAAAACCGATACCCCGATTTGATTGTGTATTCACCATCTTTTGTATAATTCCAACAGAGGCGGTCATTCCTATTTCCTTGTCCGAGATATAACGATTCTGCAAGAATCTGATCCTCATGGGTAAGATAAGTGGCAAGAGCTGCATCATTCCATTGTCTTGAAGATCCCTTTGATATCATAAGGTCTTTAACCATAAGAGAGTCATGACCACCAGTTGCTAGACGAGGTGAACGAGTAGGAAGCCAATGGTTGGAAAAAATATTCGTAGAATCTCCATTTCCTAGTATAAATTGTGATCTCTTCTAAATAATGTCCAATCCGCAGAGGATGGAGGCCCATCCATATGATTGTTTTATTTGTCTTTTGGCATCAAACAACGAAACATCTCTAAAGTATCTTGTTTTGTATAATTTAGAGAAAAAACAATTTAGGTGGCTTAGTAGTCTCGGTAAAAACTTAAGTCCGACTTTAGAAGAGAACTAGGGTTTGTGGGTTTAAAGAGAGATCTTTTATTAGATTGAGCCAGAGCTTGAGAGACACAAGGAGATTTAAGTCGTCGGAATAAGAACGCCGACCTTGACTTTTAAGGAAAGTGAATCGAGAACTAAGAACAATCGATATTGCTAGTTTTCCCTAGGTTTCGAGAGTATTTTTTGATGATCTGAGAAGTCGGGAACTTCTCGTATTTATAGCCGATCAGGTTGGTCTTCTATGTCTGTTCGGAATAGAAAAGTCTTTTTGCCGATAAGACTAAAATTCCATTTTTCCCGGGTACGCTTGATAAATGGAAAATTTTCATTTATTTGGCCGACCTGAACCTTGTAAGGTGGGCCGAGCAGAATTCATATCGGGCCTTTAGAGATGGTACGAATCTCATCTCTAACAGTAAGCCCCTCCCCCCCCTAGTTCGCCAAGTGAGGATGCGTTACTTGGCGAATTTCAAGAGGTGTTACTTGATATTGATTCAGATCGGCTACCAAAAGAGTTAGAATATAAAATGTAACTTTACCTTGAATTCAGATCGGTGCGATGTCGAGGATCCAGCAGTAGATTTAGGCGCGAAAATTCACCCCTGAAGTTCCCGCCAAAAGTATAGTAGATTAGGCCTAGGTCTGCGCATGCAGAACTAGGTTTGACACGTGTCAACCATGAGAGGAGGAAAGCAAAGAGGCCGATTGAAATATAATGAGAAGAAATGCGGAAGGTCACCGATCTAATGATGACTCTCGATAACCGTTCTCGTTTTTGTATAAATAAGAAGGGTTCGGCCCTCATTTTTTTACTTCTACATTTTAGCGAAATTCTGTCAAAATCAGGTTTGCTCTCTTCTCTCTTTTCCCTGCTCTTCATTTATTTTAGTTAAAATTTCTCGGTCAGACCTCCGCAGCGTTTCGTTCCAAGTGCCGCCTTTGATTTCTCCGATTCAGTTGAGGCTCCGTCGCGTCAATCAGATATGAGCAAGAGTGTGAAGATCAGCGAAAGTCAACCAGAGTCGAGGGCAATCAGATTGGCTCAAAGAAAAGCTGACGAGATCGGCGTTTCTCTAGGGGACTTTATGGAGATGTCCCAAACAGATGAGTTGGTGAGGGGCCGATCTAAAGGGAAGGCGATAGCCGCGGTACAGTTATCATCAGATCGCTCTTCGGATGCGAGTGAGCTCTCGGCTCTTGATCGAGCTTTTCAGGAATGAGTGCGGGAGAAAAATCAGCAGACAGCGACCAAACGATTTCACGCCGACCAGGTCAAGGCTGTTAGAAGATCCGGAGAAACATCCTCAAGGGGTGAATTCAAGATTCCCCAGTTACGAGATGAAGCCGACGAGAGAGGGGGTCGAACGAAATGGATATCTCGGACGAGTTGAACGCCATAATTTTCGAGGATGAAGTCAACATGTTCGGGATTATCGACATGAACCCTCCAGTGAAGAAGTTCAAAGGGAGAAAAGGAGAAAAGGTGATCAAGCCGACCTGCGATAATGCTTTGGGAGTGATGCCGACTAAGTCGACTATGGAGTCCCTGGTGACGCTGAAAGATGAGTGTGATATCGGCCCTGAGGTCGTCTTTATGGTACCGAGCCCATCAGAGCGACCATGGGATGCGCCAAAAGGGTGGTTTTGCGTCTACGAGTGCTTTTTTAGGGACTTCCACCTCTGGTTCCCTCTTCTGAGATTATTACTGGAATTCACCGACCGCAAAGAGATGCCGATCTCTAGTTCTCGCACGCAACGATTCGTCTAATAGTCAGTATTCTGGTGATGTCGAACAACCATGGCATCCCGCTGAGCCCAGCTGTGTTCAACGTAATGATGAACACCAGAAGGACAAAAGCGAAATATCAGAACCGAGGTTTGTACTATATCAGCATGAAGAAGAAGTTCAACATCGTCACAAGACAAAGATTGATGACTGGAGGGACTGATACTTTTTTGTACTGATCAACGAGTCTTCTATCGTCGATCAAGATGTGCTGATTCGAACGAAATGGGCGGAGGTCATGGGTAGAAAATCTACCCGACCTGCAGTTTAATAGTCACGAAACTATGGTTATCTATGATTACTGACCGATCTGTCGATTATCTTTTGCAAGAAACAGGCCTCTTCCCATCGTTGACGGACCTCTTGACATCTACGACATTGCTGAGCAGTTCTCGACCATTAGCGCGATCACGTGGCTGGAGATCACAGAGGAGAATATTGCAAGAACAAAAGGTAAATCTGGCTTAGTTTCACATATTGGTATAAACCAAAATTTTCAAATCGGCTAACATAGATTTTCTTGTCGCAGCTGCTCTAGTCCGCCATTAGAACCGAGCCAGAAGAATGAAATCCCGCTCCTTCAAGGACCTATCAGCCGATCTGGAATCCGCTTTCGGATCTCTTGGCATTGTTGAGCCGTCAAATCCTCAACCTTTTGCGCTAACAGCAGAGTGTGAGGCATCTAAGAGCGGTGCTAAAGATGACTCGGCCAAAGCCCAAAGGGCGGCCGATAAGAAGTCCAAAAGGGCAGCCGAGAAGAAGGCTGCTAAAGAAGCAGAGAGGGCTCGGAACCAGGCCGAGCAGGAAAAACAAAATGAGGGCGGAGATGATGCAGTTGGCAGGGCGGATGGTCACGCGATCTCAAATAAAAGGAGCTCAGAAGATGCACCCGTGGAAGTCCAGAGGTCAAAGAGGCCCCGCACTGAACGGGAGCTCTATCCGTTCGGTTTCTCATACAATTACCGAGGGAAAGACCCTTTGGTGAGCGACATTGAGTCCTGTCTTGA